AGGAGGAGGATGATGATGAGGAGGGGGAGGAGGTAGGGAGCTGGACGATGGATCGGTTCGGGGGCCAGGGAGGGACATGAGTCGTATATGTTGAACGTGCATGCGTTCTGGATGGAGTCGGACGACGTTGCGGTTGGGGGGCCAGGGGAGAGACGTGACAATAGAGGCGATGAATCGGGCGTCCTTGGGCGACGCCGTCGCTGCAGCTGGACTCCGTGCGTTGTCCTGCTGCCTTCGGCCCAGGCAGTTTGGAAGGCTGTTGTAGCCGTTTTGGGGTCTCGTTTGATCCTCTGTGGGGCATCCTGGGGTTTTTGGGTGGCTGTTGGGGGCCTTTTGGGATTTATTGGGGGGCATCGTTGGGTTCCTGGGAGCCTCTTCGGGCGGAAAGTTGGAATTCTGGGTTCGCGGTCCCCCTCTTGGGTCCCTCTTCGAACCGTTTTGGTGCACTCTTCTGCCGTCTTAGGGGCGTTGTGGGCCGTCTCGGAACCTTTTTGGGCTGTCTTGGAGGCCCCTTGGGGGCCTCGTGGGCCGTCGTGGGGCGGTCTTGGGGGCCTTGGGCTGTCGTCAACGCCGTGAAAACCGAGTCAACGCCGTGAAGGCCGAACAGTTACATATGTTAAAAATGCACGTTTTTCCCTATGGGAATTGACGATTTGGGCGTCGTGGGGGCTTCCTGAGAGGCCTCCTGGAGGCGTCCTGGGGTGTGTTGGTTGCTTTTTGGGCCATCCTGGGCCCATCTTGGGCGTGTTGGAGCGATCATTCGGAGACTCTGTGCTATCTTGGTCCGTCTTGGGGGGTGTTTGGGGGGCCTCGACGGGCTGTCCTGGAGCTACATCGTGCGTGTGTTGGGCCGTTTCGGAACCGTTTCGGGCTGTTTTGGGTGCCCCTTGGGAGCCTCTTGGGCCGTCGTGGGGCGGTTTGGGGGGCTTCGTGGACTGTCGTCAACGCCGTGAAGGCCGAACAGTCGCATATGTTAAATATGCACGTTTTCCCCTATGGGAATTGACGATTTGGGCGTCGTGGGGGCTTCCTGAGCGGCCTCCTGGAGGCGTCCTGGGGTGTGTTGGTTGCTTCTTGGGCCATCCTGGGCCCATCTTGGGCGTGTTGGAGCGATCATTCGGAGACTCTGTGCTATCTTAGACCGTCTTGGGGGTGTCTTGGGGGCCTCGACGGGCTGTTTTGGAGCTACAGAACGGGCGTCTTGAACCGTGTCGGTACCCTGTTGGGCTGTTTTGGAGGCTTCTTGGGAGCCTCTTGGGCCGTCGTGGGGCGGTCTTGGGGGCCTCTTGGACTGTCGTCAACGCCGTGACGGCCGAAAAGTCGCATATGTTAAAAATGCACGTTGTCCGAATGAGGATTGACGATTTGGGCGTCGTGGGGGCTTCCTGAGCGGCCTCCTGGAGGCGTCTTGGGGTGTCTTGGCGGCCTCTTGGGCCATCCTGGGCCCATCTTGGGCGCGTTGGAGAGATCATTCGGAGACTCTGTACTCTCTTGGACCGTCTTGGGGGTGTCTTGGGGGCCTCGACGGGCTGTTTTGGAGCTACACAGCGAGCCTGGGGAGCCAGGCCCCCCCCTCTGATGAGTTCGGGGGTGGGTCGGATCCGACGAGGGGGGGTCAAATTGCCGGTTGGGGTCCCGGGGGGGGGGCTTTATGGGGGGGGGCAATCTCATACGCCTAGAGACCCACAAGTGGTCGGCGGATTTTTTGGTCATTTCTGAAGATTGTTCGACTATTTTAAATTTTTCCTCCAAGATCAGCCTGTAGTGGGACATGCCCGACCTGAGGCAATCTGGGGGGAAGAAGGTGGGCGGCTGCGGGGGAAGAAGAGGGCGGCCGCGGAGGAGGAACGCGGAGGAAGGGTTCTGGGGACCACTGCAGGGCCCTGGGGCCCGTCGGCAGCGGGCTCAGCATGAGAAGCCGGTCCCCGGGACAAAAAGGGTCGACGGGGCTAGGTGCTGAACAGCTCTGAAGCTCATCTGCAACGCGAGTTAAGTGAGGAAAACCAATGCCATCTCCAAGAAATTAGCAGAGTAGGCCCAGACCCCCTGGGGCAATGAACCAATCATGACGGGACGTTTTTTGCTATTTTCGGCCTCTGGGTGCCCTTACCGGCCCTCGGGACCGTCAGAAAACGACTCAGGAGGAAGAATTGGTCCAGGTCCAGGGGAAGGGGTTGAGACCTCCGGGGCTCGACGTAGTGACAAAAATCATGGCGCTGGGGGTCTGCGGGGGGGCCCAGTTAGTTCCCCTGGCCATGGCGGGGGCAGCTGGGCCGGGCCGTCGGAGGAGAAGGCCTTCCCCAGAGAGAGAGAGAGGCACTTACGATGTCAGTTTCTTTCATCATGGGGTCCCTTGGGAAGTCCCGCTCCATTCATCTGCAGCCCTGGGTCCCGAAAGACGAGCCCCGAAACGTGAAAAAGTCGTCAAACCTCGGTCACGATGATTGTCCATACGTTGGAGGTCTGGCCCCATCGAGGGGGTGGAGTAGGCAAGAGGATGGAGGAGGAGGAGGAGGAGGAGGAGGAGGAGGAGGAGGAGGAGGAGGAGGAAGAAGAGGATGATATTTGGTGATAGAGGCTCGAGGGTAGATGATGAGCAGGAGGAGCAGGAGGAGCAGCAGCAGCTGGAGAAGGACCAGAGATGAGGGGCCAGAGGAGGAGAAGGAGGAAGAGGAGGAGGATAATTAGATGGTAGAGGGTCAAGGATCTGAGGAGATGAGGATGATGAGGAAGAGGAGGAGCAGCAGACGAAAGAGTCGGATAATGATGAGGAGGGATAATGATGATGAAGAAGAGAGAAGGAAAAGTAGGACTCAGGAGGAGATCAGGGAGGATGAGGATGAGGATTAAGATGTGACGATGTTGCGGATGCTGCTGACGATGATGATGATGATGATGATGATGATGATGATGATGATGATGATGATGATGATGATGAGGATGATGATGATGATGATGATAATGATGATGATGATGATTTTGATGATGATGATGGTGATGGTGATGCTGATGCTGATGCTGATGATGCTGATGATGATGCTGATGATGCTGATACATATTATTTTTATGATGATGATGACGATGATGATGATGATGCTGCTGCGGATGATGATGATGCTGATGATGATGATGCTGATGATGATGGTGATGACGACGATGATGATGATGCTGATGATGATGGTGATGACGACGATGATGATGATGATGATGATGATGATGATGATGATGATGATGATGATGATGATGATGATGATGATGATGATGATGATGATGATGATGATGATGATGGTGGTGATGATGAAGATGATGCTGCTGAAGCGGAGGAGGAGGAGGAGGAGGCTGAGGAGGAGCAACAGCAGCCAGAAGAGTAGAATAGAGGAGAGAGGAGGGAGATGAGCAGGAGGAGGAGGAGGAGGAGGAGGAGGAGGAGGAGGCGGAAGTGGAGGAGGAGGAGGAGGACGACGACGGGGAGGATGAGAATGAGGACGAGGTCTGGGACTAGACGCGGCGCAGGAGGGCTGCGTCTTCGCGGCGGGCGAGGGCTCCGTGGACCTGGCGGCGCTCCAGGACTGCTTCGCCCGCGAGGCGCCAGAGGACCTCCGCTCCCGCGCGCGGCCCATGACCCCCGGGCGCAACCCGGGGGTCGGTCGCGGTTCCTCTTTCTATCCTCTTCCTCCCTCTCCTCCTTCTCCTCGTCTTCCTCCTCCTCCTCCTCCTCTTCCTCCTACTCCCTCATCCTCCCTCCGCATCCCTCGCTCCTCATCCCTCCTACTCTGCCCTCCTTCCTCCTCCTCCCTCCTCCCTCCTCCCGCGATCCTTCTCCTTCCTGCTGCTCCTCGTCCTTCCTGCTGCTCCTCCTCCTCCTCCTCGTCCTCGTCCTCGTGCTCGTCCTCCCTTACCGTCCCTCGACCCTCCTCCTCCTCCTCCTCCTTCTCCTCCTCCTCCTCCTCCTCCTCGTCCTCCTCCTCCTTTTCCTCCTCCTCCTCCTCCTCCTCCTCCTCCTCCCTGTCCTCCTCCTCCTCCTCCCCATCATCATCAGCATCAGCATCATCATCATCATCATCATCATCAGCAGCATCATCATCATCATCATCATCATCATCATCATCATCATCATCATCATCATCATCATCATCATCATCATCATCATCATCATCATCATCATCACCATCACCATCACCATCACCATCATCATCATCATCATCATCATCATCATCAGCATCATCATCATCATCATCATCATCATCATCATCATCATCATCATCATCCGCCCTCCTCCTCCTCGTCCTCCTCCTCCTCCTCCCCCCCTCCTCCTCCTCCTCCTCCCCCTCCTCTTCTCATCCCCTTTTCCCTCCACGTTCCTCAATCCGCCTCCTCCTCATCCTCCTCCTCCTCCTCCTCCTCCCCCTCCTCCTCCTTCTCCTCCGTCCTCCTCACTGCTCCTCCCTCGATCCTCCGCCTCCACCCCCAATATCGCCCTTGGGCAAGGGCGCGTAGATTATTTCTGCTCTTGAGATGTTCCTTCTGGCGTCGAGGCCCTTCGGATTGGCACGGACTCTGACACTGCCGAGTCCGCCAAGCCCCTTCCGTGCGAGGACATTGAGGGTCATGGATACGTGTTCGATCGTGGCGCCGTTCCAGTACGTGGTGCTGAACGGGATCGTGGTGTCGTTCCCGAGTGTGCTGCTCCAGAGAATGCGCTATACGATATCAAGGCCATTGTCTTGGAGGTCAGGGCCGACCTGTTCAGCCTGCATTGTGGAGCTGTACCCTCGTTCCTTCGATGGCGACATGGGCAAGTGTTACAGCAGGGGCAGGGATCAACTCAGGTAGCATGGGTCTTGCCCCCCCCCCCCTGCTATCCTCCTCCCCCAGCCGTGCTCAGTGTAGTTTGAGTGTGGTGCGGGATGGTGCTGATGAGGTTGAAGATGAGGATGATTCGGATGCAGAGCGCAGCGAATACTGCAATTTGAATGCGAGTCTGTGTGTTATATAACAGACATAACACTTGAATGCTAATGTTGTTCTCTTCATTGCAGCCTGCGTCCGATCGTTTTTGGGTGGTGCTTGGGACGATGAGGATGTGGATGATGTTTTGGTGACGGTAGTCTGCACTGCCTAGTGTGTATTAGTTTCAGATTCGTTTGTCCGATTTGCGCTTGTTTGCATGGTCTCCTCGGGTTTTCGGTGTTCGGTTGTTTCGCTTGGTCGTTGTCCCTCCGCCATGTGTCTTCTATGGCCCTCGCCTCGTTCTCCTTTTGGGACCTCGTTCGGTCCCCGCTTATCTCTGTGCCGAGCGTTCGGGAATTAGCGCTGGACTCTAACCCACGTCTAAATAAAATCCTCCTGCCTCCCTCGATCCTCCTCCTTCCTCCCTCGTCCCCCCATCGGTCCTTCCCTCTCCTTCTCCTCCTCCTCCTCCTCCTCCTCCTCCTCCTCCTCCTCCTTACTCCTCGTCCCTCGCTCCTCCTCTTCCTCCTCCTCCTTCTTTCTCGTCCCTCGTTCCTCCTTCTCCTGCTCCTCCTGCTCCTCCTCCTCCTCCTCCTCGTCCTCCTCATTCCTCGACCCTCCTCAGCAGGGTCCCTCGATCCTCCCCCCTCCTCCTTCCCCAGGACCTTCGCGCCCGCTCGCGGCCCATGACCCCCGGGCGCCTCGAGCGCCCGGTGCTGTGGGAGGGGAACGACAAGCAGGATCGCGGGACAACGTCAGGGGGGATGGTCAGAGGAGGGCGAGCGGAGACGACGGTGCCCAGATCTCCTCGCGCCGTGATCAAAAATCACGACCCAGGACCGTCAAGCACGACCCAGGACGAAGGATTCGTCCCTGGGAAGGGGTCCAGACCTCCGGGGGTCGACGCTGCAACACATCACGGTGTCTGGGGCCTGGGCAGTTGGCCTTCGGGGGGCCCTCTCGACGCCAGGGCCGGACGCAGCTCGGGAAACCGCTGCGTCTGGGCCCCGGGAGCGATCGGGGGGCCGAGGTTGAGCTGCCGCTGTCCCAGCGCGCCCTGCTCAGAGCTTCGAGGTCCGAGGCCCGAGAACCACCAGGAGATACACATTGTTCATTCCACTTTTTCGAAAGCTCTTTGATCCTTTGGGGGCCAGGATCCTTTCATGTCTGATTGCTCTATCCTGGGCCTCTTCCTGGCCACTGGGAGGCCAGGAACAATTAGAAACGAGCACAGTTAGAAATGAGCACGATTAGACATGAACGCCGTGTGGGCTCCCGATCTCCCATCCATCGCGGGCAGCGGCCTGGTAGCCCCGCCCCGCGGAGCGTGCGGGCTCGCTCTCTCTCGGGCCTGTCACGGATCACGACGTAGCTCCGACTCCGGGTCGACGTTCGACCTTCTGAGTCGGTCCTCCCCAGCGCCCCCCCGCCCAAGGATCCCAAGAAGCGCCGCACTGGCATCGCCATCCTCATGAAGACGTGGGAGAAGGTTCTTGCGCACATTACTGAAGCTTGGGCGCGTCTTGCGCTTACGATGCATGCTCCTGCAACATGGGTATATTCCGGACACTTGCGCATGCTCACTAAACTTGCGCATGTTCCTGCAGCTTGGGTATGCTCCTGAAGCTTGTGTATACATATATATATATATATATATATATATATATGTATATATATATATATAGTTATGAAGCGCTTCTTTCGTCTATTCCTGAGGCTTGGGCGGTCTCTCTGTCATCCGCGCCTGGTCCGAGGGTGCTCCGGTGGTGCTCGTGTCTCGCCCCGAGCGGCCGCCGGAAACCGCATGGCTCCAGGAGGGGCACGGGCACAATTTTGGCGAGCGGACTTGGAGGAGGAGGAGGAGGAGGAGGAGGAGGATGAAGAGGAGGAGAAGGAGGAGCAGGAGGAGGAGAAGGAAGAGGAGGAGGCCTATATACCGAAATGTGTCCCTCCCTCTCGCCTCTCTTGGGCCTCCTGGGGGGCCATCGTCGCCACGGCTGGACTCCTCCTTCTCCTCATCCTCTTCTGGTATATTCATGCGTGCCGCGGGGCAGATGTCGTCTTTCTGCTGGTCGACAGGGCTGGACCCAGCGATCCTTCCCTCCTGCTGCTGAATCCGCCGCTGATCCCTAGTCTTCAGTCGGGCGTGTCTCTCTACAAGAATATCCAAAAATAGTAAAAATAGTCAGGGGACGGTTTTTTTTTATCATTTTTTGCACTTTTGGGCTATATGTTGTATTTGTCGTCCAAAATCCGCCTGTAGGGGGACACGCCCGACTTAACCCTAGCCAGAACCATGGGAGAGATGCGAGGTGTAGCGGTGTCGGTACCATCTTGTGTCCCGAAAGTTGGCGGACGCGTTCTTGGACAGGCTGAGGCGGCTCGAGCTGCAGGCCATCCTCGAGGACGGGGACTTCAATCAGGACATCTTCGAGCAGCTGATCGACGTGGTGCACAGCGTCTCCACAGGGGAGTGGGAGCGTCTCAGAGAGGACGGCGCGCATGCAAGATATGAGTGGGATGGCAACACCGAAGGCTCGGATCGGACGAAGGGGGAGGTCTGGGCAAGCGGGGGGGGCGGGCACGAAGTCCACTGCGTGCAGTTGGTTTCGGCCCCACCGCCGGGCGCTCTTCTCCATCCACTGGCGCTTCCCAGCACCGAAAACAGCTTCGCAAGCTCACTTGCTGCCCCACGCCCCCTTCGCAATGCCCCCCCTCTGTTGTCCGACCCGACAGGCTTCTTCCAACGCTTGCAGAGCATCTCCTTTTTTAGGGAGCGGCTTTCCGGCCTCCACGGATACATCATCATCGAGAGGGACTTGCGCAGACTCACATGTCGCGTCGGCAAGCTTGCGGGCGGAGTGCGGGCGATCCGAGGCTCGAGGGCCTTGGAGTGCTTCCTGCGGAAGCTGCTGCACATCGGCAACTGCCTCAACGCGGGCTCGAGCGCTCTGGGGCGCGCCGACGGCTTTGACGCGGTGCATGCGCTGGAGAAGACGCTCTTGATCGACATGCCGAAGGGATCGGACGGTAGTGCGGAGACACGAAGACACATGCGCAATGTTAGGTTATGCATGTCTGTTTTGAACATGTGGGGGCCCAGCTCCTATATACGGCCCAGGGGGCTGCCCCCCCCCCCCCCCCCCTCATGCTGATGCCATCGCCCCACCCACCCCCCCCGCGATGGTCTCCCCCCCACCCTGACTGTGGGTGTGGTGTGGTGATGTGGGCGTGGCCTGTGTGGCGTGGTACTGTGGTGCTCCAGGAGAGCTCCAGAGGTCGTCGTGGTCGCCGCCGCCGCCGCCGCCGTTGTCGTTGTCGTCGGCGCCGCCGTCGTCGTCGTTGTCGTTGTCGTCGTCGTCGTCGCCGTCGCCGTCGTCGTCGTCGTTGTCGTCGCAGCCGCCGTCGTCGCCGTCGTCGACGTCGCCGCCGTCGTCGCCGTCGTCGTCGTTATCTTCATCGTCGTCGTCGCCCCCCCCATCCCATCAGGGGGGGGGGGGCCGTGGAGCCCTGGGACCCATCCCATGTGGGGGGGGGGGAAAGGGGGGGCCGTGGGCCCGCAGCCCTGTATCATATATGGCCTCCCCCCCAGGCATGTATGGTTGTGGGATGTGTTCGACTTCTGTGTATATCGTGAGTTGCTTCCTTGTGCACTTGCAGGATGAAGTGCGCCGATGTAACCCTCGCACGTCGCATGACAAAGTTCATGGTGCAAAACGAGGACCAACACCGCATTCTCCCCAGTCTTCCTGGAGCCTTCGGAACGCCTGAATGCTCCAGCCGGTGCAGTCCACGTCGGACATCCAGCGGCCGCGCCGCCTTGGAAATGATTCTTAGGCTTACGCCACACCGCCGACCCCTTGTTTATGCCAATCGGGGGGCAGTAGAAGCTGCGAAGGGGTGAAAAGGCGAGTGATATTTGTTTGGTGTCTGTCCGCCGCCACTGCCAGAGGGTCTCGGGCAGTTCCGCGGGGGTGTCCGAGCGGACGGCGACACCGCGGGCGGTCGTGGTCTCATCTGGGGCCATCTGAGAGGCATAATGGAGCCAGGTTGGGCTCGGGAATGTCTTCGAGCCGTTTCGGTAGCGGTCGGGAGTTTTTTTGGGGACTGTCCAGGAGTCATTATGGGTCAACTTGGCCATGTGCGAGGCCACGGCGCGTGCAAAGGGTGTGCCGGCATGGGGTATACTTGCATGCGAATCTTCCCACTGGGCCCCACGGTGGACGTATTCTGGAGCCACGACACGATCGACGTGTGTGTGCGCTTGGGGTTGGAAGTTTACGGGACCGCGGGTACTGGGGCTATGGTTGGAGCGCGCCGTGGAGCCACGAAATCTATGAGGGACGTGCCCAATGTTCGCGGGGAACCGCGCGTATACTCGGGTTTTGGGGCCTTTCATTCAAGTTGCCGCGTGCGGGGTGTGCCAAATTGGAGGCATGTTCACTAGATGGAAGCGCCACGGCACCTCGATTTCTGCGGGGTCGGCGGATGCTGGACGTAAGTTGTGGATTTCGAAACTGGGGCTGATCCGTTATTGGGCATGCTGGGGTATTCGGAGGAGTGGGAGGAGGAGGATGAGGAGGAGGAGGAGGACGAGTGACGCTGCGAGCGTAAGAGCGGGGCGAAGGAGACGGAGCAGGAGAAGGAGGAAGAGGAGGAAGGGGAGGAGAAGGGGGGACGAGGAGGAGGCGGAGGAATAGGAAATGACATTGAGCTTCTCATTCCTCTCTGGGATTGGCCGCCTGCGTGTGCGGCTCGACTCTTGGGGCGCTCTTGGGGCGCTCTTGGGAGGCTTGTTTGGGACCTCGGGGGCCGTCTTGGAGACCTCTTGGCCCGTCTTGGGGCCATCTTGGGCGTCTTGGAGGGGTCGTTTGGCGTCTCGAAGCCTTCGTGGGCCGTCTTGGAGGCCTCTTGGGTGCTTCTTGGCCCGTCTTGAGGCCCTCTTCGACCCGGAAAAGCTCTGGAACCGCTCGTCCCGGCCGTGCTGCGCTCGTCCCAGCTCCCTCCCCCCCATCCAAGTCGGCCCTCTTGGGCCGTTTTGGGGACCTCTTGGGCCGTCTTGGGGCCGTCTTGGGCCGTCTGGAGGCCGTCTTGGGGGCCTCTTGGGCCATTTTGGGGCTATCTTTGGAGCCTTTTTGCCCGTCTTGGAGCGTCGGACAGCCGGAAAGGCGGAGAAGCAAAAAACGTCGAAAAACATTCTGGAAAATCAACAATTTTAGACTCTTTGGGCCCTCTTGGGAGGCTTGTTTGGGACCTCGGGGGCCGTCTTGGAGACCTCTTGGCCCGTCTTGGGGCCATCGTGGGCGTCTTGGAGCGGTCGTTTGGCGTCTCGGAGCCGTCGTGGGCCGTCTTGGAGGCCTCTTGGGGGCTTCTTGGCCCGTCTTGAGGCCCTCTTAAGCCCGGAAAAGCCCTGGAACCGCTCGTCCCGGCCGCGCTGCGCTCGTCCCGGCCCCCTCCCCCCCTCCAAATCGGCCCTCTTGGGCCGTCTTGGGGACCTCTTGGGCCGTCTTGGGGCCGTCTTGGGCCGTCTGGAGGCCGTCTTGGGGGCCTCTTGGGCCATCTTGGGGCTATCTTTGGGGCCTCTTTGGCCGTCTTGGAGCGTCGGGAAGCCGGAAAGGCGGGAAAGCAAGAAACGTCGAAAAACACTCGGGAAAATCAACAATTTTAGACTCTTTGGGCCCTCTTGGGAGGCTTGTTTGGGACCTCGGAGGCCGTCTTGGAGACCTCTTGGCCCGTCTTGGGGCCATCGTGGGCGTCTTGGAGCGGTCGTTTGGCGTCTCGGAGCCTTCGTGGGCCGTCTTGGAGGCCTCTTGGGGGCTTCTTGGCCCGTCTTGAGGCCCTCTTGGGCCCGGAAAAGCCCCGTGAGTCGCTCGTCCCGGACCCCCCCCGCTCGCGCCGGACCCCCCCCCCCCCTCCAAATCGACCGGACCGGGCTCCCGGGGGAGGGGTTTGGGGAGGGGGAAGCATCTCACACGCCGATGATCCCCAAGGGGTCGGCGGATTCCTTCGGGGGCAGACTCCGTAGGTGTGATATGGGATCTGGTTCATTCGTCGCAGAGTTCAATCCCACCCCCGCGGCGCCACACTCACTTTCTCGCGCTGGCCGGCATTCCGGGCGGGCCCGCAGACTCCCCGACGTGCAACAGGGGAGAGCTAGCGATGGGGGTTCGGTTGAGGGAGGGCACGGGAGAGTGGCGTCGGGGCGTGGCGGGTCGTTGGGCTTTTCCCCGGGCTCCTTCAAGGGGCCCCAAGGGGCCCCAGAGCTGATGCCAACTTCGGATTTCGAAACAAGGATCCAGTACTTTTCAGTTTCTGAGATCCCAGTGGGGGCTGGGCATGTTCATCCGTCATCCAGGTGGGTGATGGGGGCGGTGAAGGGGGACCGCACGATGGTATGAAGCAAAGACCCGGCAGTGTCTGTGCAGGTTTGTTGCTTGTCTGCCGCCACTCCAGGTAAGACCTCCCTGCTGCAGCACATGAAGGAGAAGGAGCTAAGCCCCGGTCAGCGCGAGGCGTTCGGCGACCTGGAGAAGCAGTTGCAGGGCTGGAAGATACCCTCCTCCTCGGATGCAGAGCAGGAGGCTCAGTATATCGTTTAACCGATCCCTATCCCCATTCCCATCCCCACCCCGATCCCCACCATCCCACCACCCCACTTGGGCACTTGGGGATATGCCCCTCGGAGCCCGAAGGGAGCCGCCTATATCCACATCTCGGGGGTAAATCGGCCAGTGGGGCCCACGCCACGCCAGCGGGGATAGAGATGGGTGAAACGATGCTCAGAGGCAGACCCCACCAACTTGCTGGACCTCAAGGGCGAGGTCGACAGCGCCACCCAGGTCCTGTCGAAGCTGGAGGGCTATCTGGCCGGCGCCATCAACCGGCACCGGGCGTGCCTCTTCGAAGCGGCATCCCACCGCGGCGAGTTCTGCCCCAGGGACCTCGACAGTAGGCGGCAGCACCTGACGGAGCGGCGGGCGCTGCTGGACAGATACGACGAGCGGCTCAAGGGCTTCCGTTCGCGCTTCGCGAGGCTCCGCGCCGACATCGAGGAGCTGCAGACGGAGCTGCCCGCGCTGCACGGCTGGCTGCTGCACGCGCCCCCAGAGAAGAAGCGGCTCAGCGCGGGGCGCGTGCTCGGCGTCGTGTCCGCGCTGGCCCAGCGCCTGGCGCCCGACAAGGAGGCCGGCACGCTGAAGAGGGGCGCGACTGGCACGCCGCGGCTGTTCCGGAGCGCCAGCGCGGACTCGGTGGCGGGCAGCCCGGTGCCGAGCGGCCCGCCGCAGCCGCAGGTCGGGGGCGGCAAAGAGGGGGGTGATGACTAGGGGGGGGTGGACATCATGGCGTGGGCCATGATATTTCCCCAGATTTCATGGCGCCTCTTCTCATTTCAGTACGTCCCTGGCCCCCAACCTGGGCCGCGCACGTGCCGCCGGCCATGATTTGCGCCCCCCTCTTTGACGCCCCCCTCTTTGCCGCCCCCGAGCAGGGGCTCGCGCTCGCCTCGCCCCGCGCCGCGGCACCGCGGCGCGCGCCGACCCCGCGGCCCCCGGCGGCCACGCGCCCGGCGCCCCGGGCGCTCGTGGCGCCGCAGGGCGAGCAGGAAGGTGCCTAGGTGAGGCTCGACCGGCCCTTCCTGCCGCTCTCGAGTCGATTGGCTCCCCAGAGATCCAACGTATTGAAAAAATCAAGACGGAGGTTTTTCTCCATGTTCGGCCTCTAGGGGCCCTCGCCGGGCCCCGGGAACGTTAAACAACGACTCAGGATGAAAAACTGGTCCTGGGGAATGGGTCGAGACTTCGGGGAACCGCGTATTGAAAAAATCACGACATCGGATCTCTGGGTCTCCTCCCCCCCTCTTCGATCCGAGGAGGAACAGGTATACCGATGCCTCTATACCCTGTGCCCTCCCCCCGCCTCCCCTTGTTCGGCCTCCTCTGGGAGGCTCTCGTCGTCACCGCTGGACTCGACCCGAAGCTCTGGTCCGAGCGCACCCCGGCAGCAGTCCTGGGAGCAGCGGTATCGGTACACTTCGGTTCCCGCACCATCTGGTGCAGTCCAGCCCGTCCACGGCATGCTGGGCCGCGGCATGCCAGCTGTGACGGGGCGGTGGCTCGTTTTTCGGTGCCGCGGGTCTCCCGCCTCGCTTCTCTCAAGCGAGAGGCCCCCGGCAGGAGTCGGCAGCCGTGCTGCAGACCTACAGAGGGGCACCACTTGTGGCCCGCTCTGCCAATTCATGGTCTGCCGCTGCCGGGCGAAATTTATGTTTTACCACTCTATTGTTTGTCAATTTATTGTTTGTCCATTCTGGCATGGTCTACTCGTTCTGTCATTCACGATCTCATGTGCAGAAGGGTCGGGATGATGAAGCTGTAGAACTTTCGGTCACATAGGCACGCGCTCTGCAATGCGCGAAGATGATTATCGCTTTTCGTCTAGCATGAATCGTCGAGCATGAATCCGGCTTGGCCGCTTTGCGAATTCGGTTCTGCATCAGTTGCCCGACACCGACTCAGTAGCTCTTCCTCGAAATCGGCACGTGCAGCAGCCTTGCGGTTGGCGTCGCATCCGAGAAACCAAAAACAATATCCAGTGGCACAGCGATGGGCCCTGGGCTTTGTTGCATGACCAAGGGCAGAGCAACGATTGGCAATCCGTAAGTTACGTAGCTTTGCCCAGCGCATGATCTCCGAGGTGTTGCGTCCTGGCAGCAGTCGGTGGACACCTCGACACCATGCAAAATAATGCTGACCAAGAGTTGACCAAAAGTTGTTTCAAATTCCAAGAGGCAAGCAGGCGACGCGGTGTCCGGTTGGAATCCAGTTGTTTCCGAGCCATCATTTCGAAGGCATTAGTGGCAGCAGCGGTGAGGTGAGGTGACGTAATGTCAATGATCAAATGTGTTGACGTTGCGCATATCCTCCACAGACCATCCAGAAACGATCGCTAGGCCAACCGCCAGATGGTAGAACTTGTCCGCGTCGCGTGCCAGGCCAGTTCCAGAACGAAGCATCCAGGACAGCCTCCCGCAAGGGCCGGCCTATCACTTGCTAGGGCTATGGAATGAGAGAGGGAGCTGCATGAGAGAGGAGCCAGTGGGGAGGATCGGAAAAACGTAAGACTCGATTTCGCCGGGACTCGGGTTCGCGGACGACGGGTCCGTACAGACAGTTGACGGCCCAGTTTCAGTGGAATGTTTGCAGCAGGAGCTCGCGTCAATTCTCATATTGGGTCTCGTCGTGTTCATGACGGCCCCGTCAGGCCAACCCGAGTCCCCCGAACCCGAGCCTCACGTCCCCCCGAGAAGAGGAGGAGGAGGAGGAGAAGGAGGAGGGAGGATTCCCGAGGGAACGCATACATTGAATAAGTCGCTTGGAGCAGCCTCAGGTCCCGCTTCATGCAACATTCGAGGCGCACCAAGTGCCACATCCACGCAAAAGCCGAGGCGCGCCGTTTGATTATTTCCCTCCTGCGCCCCCGTGCCAGATCCACGGATCTGTACTCCGTGTTTCAGGAAGAACAAAACACACAGACACAGTTAATCTTCGATTCCCCAGAAAGTATGGGAAACTGTGGGAAGTGGGGGGGAAGACAAAAACCCAGAAAATATTCGAAAATATGGGGGATCTTTTTATTTGTGTGTATTTATTTGTGTGTCCTTGGGCCCCTTCAGTGTTATTGTGTGCTTGTGGGTGGCGCGGTTCCTGACGAGGGCGGGGCGAGGGGGAAGGTCCCTGCGCCGCGGGTGGTCGTGCTGCGCCCGGGAGGAGGGGGACGACGAGGGGGACAAGGCGGGCGAGGGAGACGAGGAGGACGCGGGGGACGAGAATGACGAGGAGGGGCAGGAGGAGGAGGAGGATTGAGGAGGAGGAGGAGGAGGAGGAGGAGGAGGAGGAGGAGGAGGAGGAGGATTGAGGACGAGGGGGGCGAAGCCGAAGACGACACGAGCACGTGGGCGAGTGCGGCGACGACGACGAGGCGCGTGTCGACGGCGCCGATTCCGCCGCCCACGACGCGGTCGAGTCCCAGGCTCGGTGCCCCGCGCAGTCCTCCCCCGGGGATCCGCCCTGGCCAGCTTTCCGAACCTCCTCCTCCTCCTCCCTCCTCCCTCCTCCTCCCTCCTCCCTCTCCTCCTCCTCCTCCTCCTCCTCCTCCTCCCTCCTCCCTCCTCCCTCCTCCCTCCTCCCTCCTCCCTCCTCCCTCCTCCCTTCTCCCTCCTCCCTCCTCCCTCCTCCCACCTCCCACCTCCCGCTTCGGAGGCATCGGTGCAGGCCCCCCCCCAGCGGTCGCCCAGCGAACCTCGGGCAGGCCTCGGGAGGCGACAGCTCGCTCCCGAACCTTCGGGAACGCTCTCGGGGGCGGCGTTCCGCAGCGCTCCGCAGCTGCCGCGTCGCCCGGTGCGCCGGCCCGCTGAGATTCACGGCGTGCACTTTCATCTGGACGTTGATGTCCTCATCCCTTCTTGTGTTTCTGTTTTCGAGCATGTGGAGCTAAGAGTTGTGGAAGTCGACAAATGGAGAGGAAGCGTACCGCCAAAGAATTTCCAGATGTCTGAAAGATGTTTCAAATATAGCTAAACATGCGTTTAAAACATGTTTGAAACACTTTTGGAACATGCTTTGCATATTTGAAAGTGTCCATTGTTAGAGCATCCACTGATAGTGGAAATATTTGAAAGTGCAACGATCGGATTGTTAGAGTGTCCATTGTTGTGGCATCCAAAAAGCTAGGAGCGACACGGCGGCGGCGGCGGCGACGACAGCGCCGCCGACGACAGCGCCGCTGCCGCCGCTGACGGCGGCGGCGCTGCGCGCAGGGCCTGGCGCAGATCGAGGCCGAGCTGGGGCGGAGCTGTGCGGGCCCTGGCGGCCACTTTGTGTCCGCCGCCGCCGTCGCCGTCGCCGTCGTCGTCGCCGTCGTCGTCGTCGTCGTCGTCGTCTTTGTCGTCGTCGTCGTCTTTGTCGTCGTCGTCGTCTTTGTCGTCGTCGTCGTCGTCGTCGTCGTCGTCGTCGTCGTCGTCGTCGTCCGGCTTACTCTCGGGGGCCCCCGAACGGGGGTGCGGCGACGGAGCCGTGCAGGGTCCGTGCCAATGCGATCGATCCGCTTCGATGCCGACCGTACGACTGGCCCTGCCCGGTTCGATGCCGACATTCTTACGATCAGGTGTGGCCGATTGCTTGCGTGGCGCTGCTGTGCATCCCGGCGCGGCAGATCCGACTCGGTGCCGACTCCGTGCCCCTGCGGCCCGGCCTTTTTTGTTCGAGGCTGGATTGGCCCTGCGCCGTGTGGTGAGCCAGTGGGGATGAGGGGAGACTCGGGGGTGGACAGAACCCACCCCCTGACACGGCGATTAGTGAATTGTCCCTTTTCGGTTCTCGAGAGGGCGCCGCGGCCGTTATTTTCTAGGCTTGCGCCCGCCAGGCTTGGGCCCGAGGTCGTTTTCGCTAAACCACGTTCTGGTGAAGGGGGCTCAGTCCACCCCCGAGAGACCGCACGGTTTTGGGACTTGAGTCGTTCTCCGATACCTCGGGCGACCGGGGCCTCTGGGGTCCCAGAGCCGTGCGGCGGCGGACCGTGCGGTGAGGTCGCATTTTGGGGGGATGCCGGGATCCCGGCACGGTCTGGCACCGCGCCGTTTCGGGACCCTCACGTGGTCGCCCAACTGCCTCGCGTCGGGAAGCAACCCGACGGGCGGACGTGAGCTGTTTTCGGCATTTTTGGGAAGCCATTGCTGGACCCCAGGGCCGTTGTGGAAGACAGGGGGCGAGCCCCCTGGAGGAGCACCTGAATTCAGAAAAACGCATTGGGCACCATCAGTAATCATTCTGCAGAAGTGAGAACCCAACAACGGCAGCATCAGCAACAACAGCAGTTTTAAGGCTGTTCGTTCCTATCTTCCTTGCGTGCTATTCAACACGTATATCCCTTACCCTCGGTACCCGCCCTCTTCGCCTTGAGTCGTGCCCCTTTGGATGTCGATTTTCCACACCTGCCACGTGTATTTCGCGCAGGCCCTAAAACAGGGGAAGAGTGGACGGATTGAAGAGGGAGGAAGAATGATGGAGCACGAGAGAGATTAGAAGGAGGGGGTCTAGGCGCAGAAAACATGGAAGAATCAGACGGGCTGATCGGGTGGGTTGACCCGAACGAGCGGGTCGGGAAGGCGGACCCAGGCGGCCAGGTCGAGCAGGCGGGTTGCTGAAGCGTGAGTCCTGCATAATTCGCGAGGAAGTTTCGAGCGATACCCCGATTCCCAAGTAAATCGCGAGAAAGGCCAGAGCGAGAGTGTCATTCCTGAGTGTTGAGGGCGCGGCGTCGGAATAGATTAAGGACGTCCCACGCGAGAGCGCGATTCTTGTATGATTTGGCAGGGCTTCCGCGCGAAAGTGCGATTTGGGAATACGTTCTAAGGAAATATCAGGCGGTGGCCGCTGTTACTGTAAACCAGGGGCCAGGGGCACAATCTGGGCCTCAAGATTTTCCCGTGTAAAAGACAGGGCGCGAACCACGGGAGGAGTACCTTAACTGAAAAACACTAGTGGGACCCGGGGGGGGGTTCATCAACAGTAGTTCTTGTTAAAAATGGGATCGCGACAACAACAATCATTGAAAAGGCTGTTCGCGTCTATCTGCTCGCGTGCGATTCAACACGTACATCCGAAGGTCTCGTTACCCGCCCTCTTCGTCTTCGATCGTACCCCTTTGTGGGTATATTCCTTACCTGGCACGCGTATTTGGCACAGGCCCTAAAACAAGGGAAACGAAGTCGGATGGAAGAGGGAGGGAGAAGGATGCAGCACGAGCGAGATTTGCCGGAGAGTGGGCTAGGAGCAGGAAGAACGTGGCAGAAACAGACGGGCTGCTCGGGCGGGTTGACCCGAACGGGCGGGTCGGGAAGGCGGACCCAGGCGGCCAGGTCGAACAGGCGGGCTGCTGAAGCGTGAGTCCAGCATGAATCGCGGGGAAGTCTTCGGGCCATAGCCAGATACCGAAGTAAATCGTGAGAAAGGCCGTGCCAAAGAAAGAGCGTGATTCCTGAGTGTCGAAGGCGCGGCGTCTGCATAAATTTTGAGTGCGTCCCACGCGAGAGCGCGATTCAGGCTTCCGCGCGAAAATTCGATTTTGAAACGAACTGTGAGGCAGTATCACGCGGGAGCCGTTGCCTTTGGTAGTTCGGGGGCCAACGGCCCAATTTGAGCCGCAAGATCTCCCCTGGTAAAAATGCAGGGTGTGAGCCCCAGGCGTAGCACTGCAATTGAAAAGCACGGTGCACGGGGGCGGGATCAACAACATATTTTCCTTAAAAAACGAGAGTTCGAATACCACCTCCCGGTGCACAGTTCACACACTGCCGCCACACACAGCAAGGAAGCAGGCACGCTGGTGTGCAGGGAGGAATACGGAAAGGCGGGGGGAAGGGCAAAGAGGGAAGGAAAGAGAGAGATGATGATGTAGGGATGAAGAGAACCGAGGAAAAGGGAGGAGGAAATGCGGAAGGGATCGAGGAAGAGCAGGAGGAGCTGGAACTGGGAGGACGGATCAGGAGGAAGAGGAGGAGGAGGAGGAAGAGGAGGAGGAGGGCGCAGAAGTTGTTTTGAAGGTAGCGCGATGAGGAGGACCGAAGAGAGGCGGGGGAACGAGGAACATGAGGAGGAGGAGGAGCGAGGAGGATCCAGAGCGAGGAAGACCGATCTTGGACGGGTGCGCGCGAGCAGGAGGAGGAGGCGGAGGAGGAGGAGGAGGAGGAGGAGGAGGAGGAGGAGGAGGAGGAGGAACGAGGGACAGGGGCGGCGACGAGGCAGGACGGCCGAGGAGACGAAACAGCCTTCGGATGCCGCCGGCGTGACCGTCGTCGCCGCCGCCGTCGCCGCCGCCGAGGCCGTCTCGGTCACCTGGGCCGAGCAGGGCCCGGGCGGCCGAGGCGGCGCGCGCGCGCGGCGCGCGCGCGCGGCGAGGCGCGGAGTCCGCCACCGCGGCGGCGGACCTCTCGGACGCGGGGCTGCAGGCTGCTGGCGGCGGCGGCGGCGGCGTCCACGAGCACGGCGACGCCGACGCCGACGCCGACGACGCCGACGCCGACGCCGACGCCGACGCCGACGGCGACTACTGCCACAGCTGCAGCCGCTACGAAGACGTCGACGACGACCGACGACCACGGTGACGGCCGCGAGTGCGGCGACGAGCGCGGCAACGGAAAAGGCGGCGCCGTCGACGATTTCGAGCATTCCTGCCTCTAGAGTCGTCTGGGAACACCCAGTGGCGTCCGGGGACGAGGGAGAACGGCGCAGCGTTGTGCAGGGTGGCAGGCCTTGAAGACAAGGACGCGGGTGAGTCGGATCTGGACCACGCGAACGTATGTTTCTCAATGTTGCACCTCCAAGGGTGCCTGGGGTCCTACGGGCCTCGTCAAAAATAAATTGAATCGCTGTTCAAAATCGAAGCGCTCGATAGTCCATGCACTTGTCAGAACACGCTTTCTCCAATGCTGTGAGGGTGCTGCCGGATTTCGGATCCCCCTGCGTCTGGGCCAAATACTTCATGCCAGCGTCGAAGTGGTGCCGACTACGCAAGCACCGAACACAAACACCGTCAACGTATAATTGACGAGTCTTGTGGGCCTCCAGATGATGCTACCAGCTACCATTATCTCGGGCACGTCCCTCTACAAGACGAGTATTCAGAAGTAATCAAAAACAATCAGGGGCGAATTTTCTGCCATTTTGACTATTGTTGGGCATTTGTTGGCTACTTTCTGATGCTTTCCAAAGACCGCTTGCCGGAGGACATGCCCGACCGAGTGCTACCAGTGGGGGCGACGCGGGGTGAGGAGACGGCGGGGGGGCCGAATCACGACGGCGAAGCTCCCAGGAAGTCTCTGGCGTCTGGAGGCCTGCTTCGGGCCCCGAGGCAGTTGAGGACGTCCGGGGCCGAAGGACCCGTTTGTTTTTGTTTCATGTTGCCAGACCGCTGCGGTGGAGACCCGAACCAAGAACACACCGCTGGCCTCCAGGGTTTTTTGGGTTTCTTGGGTTTCGATGGCTCTGCGATGGAAGCCGTGACGTTCCCACACCAAAAAAAAATCGATGGACGTCCTGGGGTCTCAGGGTCGGGTCTCTGGTGGATGGTTGCTCGTGGACTGGCCTCCTCTTTACATTTCCCAAGCAGTGTTTTGCACTTAGGGGTTCTTGCTTGTCCGTCGTAGGGAGCTGGGCCTGCGTGGCAGTCCGGCAGCTCCGTGGTCGCCCTCGCCGCCCCGCCGCCGCCCCGTCGCCGCCTGGCATCGAGTGTGCCGCGTAGGTTGAACCACGTGGATTGCGCCACGCGCCACATAGGTTGCACAACGTAGACCGCACACAATAGACAACACGACGTAGATCGCACCACCACGTAGCTTGCACCGTTCAGCTTGCGCCGCGCATGGTCCACCACGCACATGTATGTATGTATGTATGTATGTATGTATGTATGTATGTATGTATGTATGTATGTATGTATGTATGTATGTATGTATGTATGTATGTATGTATGTATGTATGTATGTATGTATGTATGTATGTATGTATGTATGTATGTATGTATGTATGTATGTATGTATGTATGTATGTATGTATGTATGTATGTATGTATGTATGTATGTATGTATGTATGTATGTATGTATGTATGTATGTATGTGTGTGTGTGTGTGTGTGTGTATGTATATGGATGGATGGATGGATGGATGGATGGATGGATGGATGGATGGATGTATGGATGGATGGATGTACGGATGTATGGATGTATGGATGTATGGATGTATGTATGTATGTATGGATGTATGTATGTATGTATGTATGTATGTATGTATGTATGTATGTATGTATGTATGTATGTATGTATGTATGTATGTATGTATATATATACAGGTTTATATATATATATGTACATATATATACACACATATCGGAGAAGGCCGGGGGACGAGGCCCGGGCCGGTGCCGTACCCCCCCGTGGGGGTATTGGGGGAGTCCCACGGCTCCCAGGACTGCCCGGGCCCGCTCCCAAACATGCCACGACACGCCAAGAGGGCCCTAACGATTGCCAAGACAGCCCCAAGAGGCCCCGGATACGCCAAAGATGGCCTTAGGACGGCCGACGACGCCACCAAAACGCCCCAAGAGCGCCTCCAGAGGCCCCTCCGTAGCCATTTTGGCTCAAGCCATTTTGGCTCAAGGCATCTTGGATCAAGCTGTTCGGCGAAGCCTCTTGGAGACCTTGTCAAGCTCTCTCGGGGACACTTCTTTGCCGTGCCCGTCAGGTTTTCGCGCGCACGGACAGATTTGGAAAACGCTTAGGAATTGCGACCTTCGGCTCAAGAGCACGTCGCTAATTGTTGTTGTTGTTGTTGCTGCAACGAGCCCAGCTATGACAGCGAGTACACGCCAGGAAGGCCGCGCAGGCGTGGCCAGTCGGTTTTCTGTTGTGATTGTTGTTTCGCTGTACAGTTGCGGATTCAGTTGTTGTCTACAATCACCGTCCAGTTATCCCCAGGTTCTGAATCAGATTCGATTCGGTCGGAACCAGAGCAAGTGCGTCCCAGGAGGCATCACTTGCTGCTGTCAGCGCAACCCCTGCCCAGGATAATATGCAGAACGAGCATCGGCTGCAGATGCCATCACCTGCTGTATCACCTGCGGTATGACAGGGTTGGGTCATAATGACAAATTGCGTGACGAGTTCGTGTTTGGCGCAAAGCTTGCATGCTCGACATGCGTTGCGCAGGGATCATAGTTGGACAGATGTTTTCCGTGGGCAAGCGCTGACACGGGAAACGGACATGTGCACGCGCAGGCAGTGTCCGCGGCCAGATCCATATCTCAGTCCGCGTCCGTCACATCGTGTTCGACCTACATCGATCTGGGCTTGCGTCTGCATTCGCGAAGGGTTGTTCAACATGCGCTCCTCGAAGATGGTATCGCAATAGTCTATGTCATCGTTGTACACACCGCAATCCTATGCCTCTGGGACTTTACCCCATGGGTTCAGGTGTGCATCAGCATATGTGTTCTTATCTCGACTAGGCATGTTACATGAGTCGCTTCGTTTCTGATACCACGCGTCCAGTCGTCCAGTCTTTACCCCGAGCTGCATGTTCTCTCTCTCTCTCTCTCTCTCTCCTGCAACAAGTGCATGCTATCACCACTTCGTTCTCCACGCGGACCAAGTTTTGCCACCTCTCCTCTCGGCATGCTCGAGGCTCCCCCTTTGTCTTCGACGCATCTGCTTGCTTCGGCCTACTCTCTGGCACCCCGGGCCCGCCCTGGAGGCGTGGAACGCACGGATCAGCGACTACCTCCTGGAGAGAGGGCGGGGCGTCCGGATATATGTATGTGTGTAGCTTTATATACATTATATGTATGTATATGTATGTGTAGGGGGGGCACGACAGGGGCAATAAGGGACAGAGAGCGCCAATGACTTGAACGCAGGGGGCGCCGACGGCGTCGTCATCGACGAAGTCGGGGGTGGTCGGCAAGTCAGGGGCGTGGACACTGAATCCCATCTCGAGGGACGAGGAGGACGAGGGGGACGAGGACGAGGAAAGAAGGATAAGCCTGGTGCCCTCGTTGTCCCGGCTGGACTCGCCCCGTCGTCCCGGTCAGAGCGCGATCTTGGGCAGGTCTGCGAGGGAGATTTTGAGGGGGGGTGAGCATCGGGAGGTGTTCTAGGGGAGTTCGAGGTCACCGCTCGGCGTGTCACCGCAGCTACCCTTTGGGACCCCCAGGAGAATCGTTTCGGACGGAAGGGGGGAGATTGGGAAAAGGGGGGTGCGACAGCAGTCGAATGGAGCTGGTCTTGGCCCCGCCGTCGGGCTCTTTCCTCGATGCATGAGCGCCTCTGGCGCTGGGAGGCGCGACCAGAAAACCAGTTGTATGAGCTGATTCGGTCATTCTCTCTTTGCTACCGCTTGCGCCTCACCTAGAGAGAGAGAGGGAAGGGACCTGGAGAGAGAGAGGCAGGGGGGAAGAGGATAAAACAAACTCGCCCGCAGGGACCCAGAGATACCCAGACCCCAGGCGTCGTGCAGTTGCCATGTATCTCAAGATGGGCTCCCTGCCATTAGTGTGACGCCTCCGCCTCCTCCCCCTACTCGACCCCCCTCCTCCTCCTTCCCCACGCACGCTTGAACTCACTCGTGCTCAGACTTACTGATATTCAGACTCGCTCACACTCATAATCAATCATACCCAGCTCAGTCATGCTCAGCTAAGTCAGATTAAGATTAACTGGCACTCAAGCTCTCACACACAGACTACTTGCACTCATATGCCCTTCACACGCAGCGTACTTCTATTCAGATTCAAGCATACGCACTTTTACTGATACACAGACCCGCACACACACATACATAATCGCTCACACTCCGTGTTACTCAGAGACTCACACCTCATAGTATGAGCCACTCATGCTCAGACCTCAGCCTCGCACACATTCAGTCGCACTCGGACCCATTCACGATCAAAAGCTGACTCACACCAGTTCAGGCAGGCGCGGCACTTGGGCACCCCCAAGGGGGAGCCGCATGGGAGGGGGACGCTTGCCCGTTCGCGCCCAGATTGTGGGGATGGCTCCGAGGGTTTGCCTGTGCAGTGGTTCAGATTCCTTCTTCCTGGGAGGAGGAGGAGGAGGAGGAGGAGCAGCAGCAGGAGGAGGAGGAGGAGGAGGAGGAGGAGGAGGAGAGCCCCATGATCACCGCGATAACGCAGGCGTAGCGCTGCGGCGACCCAGGGAGGAGCCCCTGGGAAGGGGGACGCCTGTCCGTGCGTGCCCAGTCTGTGTGTGTGTGTTTGTGTGTGTGCGTATGCGTGTGCGTGTGCGTGTGCGTGTGCGTGTGCGTGTGCGTGTGCGTGTGCGTGTGCGTGTGCGTGTGCGTTTGCGTGTGCGTGTGCGTGTGCGTGTGCGTGTGCGTGTGCGTGTGCGTGTGCGTGTGCGTGTGCGTGTGCGTGTGCGTGTGCGTGTGCGTGTGCGTGTGCGTGTGCGTGTGCGTGTGCGTGTGCGTGTGCGTGTGCGTGTGCGTGTGCGTGTGCGTGTGCGTGTGCGTGTGCGTGTGCGTGTGCGTGTGCGTGTGCGTGTGCGTTGTGTGTGTGTGTGTGTGTGTGTGTGTGTGTGTGTGTGTGTGTGTGTGTGTGTGTGTGTGTGTGTGTGTGTGTGTGTGTGTGTGTGTGTGTGTGTGCGTGTGTGTGTGTGTGTGTGCGTGTGTGTGTGTGTGTGCGTGTGTGTGTGTGTGTGTGTGTGTGCGTGTGTGTGTGTATGTGTGTGTGTGCGGGGGGGATGTCTCAGGCGAGTTGCCTGCCTGGTGGCTCAGACTCCTGCCCATGGAGGTTCCCATAATCGTCGCGATGTGGCAGGCGCAGCACTTGGGCGCCCCGAGGAGGAACCGTCAGAGGGTGCTGCACGGGCCCGTTCGTACCCAGGTTGTAAGGAGGTCTCAGCGCGGTTCGCCTTCTGTGCCACCCCTGGAGCGTCAGAGTCACGGCGGCATGGCAGGCGTGGCGCTGGGGCGCCCCCAGGTGGGACTCGCAGAGAGGTGGACACTTGCCCGTTCGCGCCCAGGTTGTGGGCATGTCTCGGGCGGTTCCTCTCTTTCGGCTCCTCGGGCTTTTCTGTTTTCATGATCACAGCGGTATAGCAAGCGTGCCACTCGGGCAACCCAAGGGGAAGACACCCGGGAGCGGGACACAGGCCCGTGCGCGCTACGGATTGCTGGGGTGTCTCAGGCATGTGGCTCAGACTTTTTGCTCTTGAGAGCCTGGCAGTCACCGCGATATCGCCGGTGTTGCATGTGGGCGCCTTGCGGAGGAGCCGGCAGGGAGCTCACCGCGACGTGGCAGAGGTATGGTTTCGGCGCCCCAGGGAGGAGCCCTCAGGGAGAGGGCACTTTCCCAGTCGCGCCCATCTCAGGGGGTTTGCTAGTTTGGTGGCTCAGATCCTTTTCTGTCGACAGCCCCATAAAATCACCGCTATATAGCAGACGCACCACTGTCGCACCCAAGGGAGGACCCGCCAGGGTGTGTTGCACGGGACCGTTCGCACCCAGATTGGGGGATGGCTCCGGGCGGTTTGCCTGCTCCGCCACCCCCCTGGAGCCCTTCCTGCTGAGAGACTCATCTAGTCCTCGCGGCATGGCAGGCGTGGCTTGGGGACCCCAGGGGGACTGGCAGGGAGTTGGATGCTGGCCTGATTGCGCCCAGAGCGTGGGGATGTCTTACGCGATTCGCCCGCTTCGGCATCTCGGACCCTTCTCTTTTGAGAGCCCCAGGGCCACCGCGACGTAGCAGTGGTGACACTTCGGCGCCCCACTGGGAAGCCGCCAGATGTGCAGCACGGGCCCGTTCGCGCCGGGATGGGGGGGGGCGTCTCCAGCGGTTCGCTCGTTTCGGTGAGAGCTTCATAACCACCGTGGTGTAGCAGGCATGGCATCTGGGCGCCCCCAAGGAGGAGCCGCCAGAGGGTGTATCTCGGGCCCGCTCACGCCCAGTTTGTGGAAGTGTCTCAGGCGGTTCGCCCGTTCCGGCACCTCGGATTCCTCTTTGGAGAGCTCCATGACCAGCGCGAAGTAGCAGGCATGGCCTGATGGGTGTTGCTCTAGCCCGTTCGCGCCCACATCGCGGGGCCCCTTCAGACGAAACACGAGTTTAGGCACCCCCGACCCCTCTCCCAGTCCCCCAAGATCACCCCGATTCAGCAATCATAGCATCTGGTCGCTCCAAGGGGAGCGCTCCGTCGCCATAGGCTACGATTATTCCAGTCAGAGGCTCGCAATCGCGGGTGCCGGGAACTGAGATGCACATTTGTGATCGGTTTCTTTTTCGTTGTGTTGCCGATCGGCGCAGGCCCCCCCCCTCCCCCTCGTCCCCCCGCCCATGGGATAGATCTTGGCTGTTTGTAGCACCTGTTTCGAGAAAGCGGAGACTTCTCCCACAGGACGCGCTACTGCAAACAGTCACATTAATCAGAGGTCCGGAGCCAGACCCCCCCCCTTCCCCCCCCTTCCTCCCCATGTCGAAACGCCGAATAAAAAAACGCTCACATGGGGATCTCCGCGTCGAATGCTTTCACACTGTGGACCCCGCAGGAGGTCTGAACCCTTTCCCGGGGACGGGGTTCTCATCCTGAGTCTGCTCTTGACGGTCCCGGGGCCCAGTGAGGGCAGAGAGAGAGAGAGGCAGAGAGCGATTCACCGATATACGTATTGTATAAGAGGGCGGGGGAGACATAGAAAGCAATCAGGGACAGAGGCAGAGACAGGAAGACCAGGCCGATGCACAGGTGGGCAACGTAGCATTATAAACATATGCGGATGTGCAGGTGGCCGACGTATAACGAAGAAGAGATGGCACACATGCAGGATGTCAGGCGATACACGGCAAGGGTAACGTCCGCATGGAGAACGGCTCGACGGTGGACATGAAGAGCGCATAGCTGAACCGATTCTCACAGGGTCCAGCCACGGGCAGGAAACCAACGCAATAGTGAACGTGTACACAGCTGAAATCGCAGCCTGAGTTCAACACTCATTCCAACTAGCATCCTGGTCTTTGTGTTGGAGGGGCGGAAATTAACCTCATGCCCGTGAGAATAAACACTAGGGGATAATAAAGTTCGGGGTTCAGGGAGAGATAATAAAAGTAGCCCAGCAGACCTCAGCATAATCTCGAAGTAAGAGATGATCAAGAGGAGACCAAGCCGAGCACGTTTTGAGACATCCTTGGCGTTTAGTTTTCATAGAAATATCCTCAACAATGGCTTACCTCGCTGGAGACATCCTAGACAAATCCCTTGTTTCGCTTGAGACATCCGCAAACTATTGCTTATTTCGCTTGAGACACAGTCAAACTATTGTTTTTTTTAAGTGCTCGCGTAGGGTAGCTCATGTGCTTCACTTTCCATGGATAATCAACCCCAGGGATAAAAAAGTTCAGGCGAGCGTGAGGACAGATAGAAATATAAAATAAGAAGAGGAAAGTAGAATAATAATAATAAGAGAAGAAGAAGAGAAGAAGAATAAGAAGAGAAGAAGAACGGACAAATGGCAGGTTCCAAATCTATCAATTTTAAATTACAGACGCTTTATGAAAATTGATTTTTTTGAGTGTTCATGTAGGGTAGGTAGCTCATGTGCTCCCCTTTCCATGGATAATCAACCCCAGAGATAAAAAAGTTCAGGCGCGCGCGGGGATAGATACATATATAAAAGGAAGATAATAAAAATATAAATAAAAAAAAAAGAAAAAACTTGCTAGTTTAGCTTGAAACATCCTTGAGACATCCTTGGAACATTGCTCGTTTCGTTTGAGTCTGCCTCCCAAAATTTGTGGTTTCGCTTGAGACATCCTTGAAACATTGCTCGTTTCGTTTGAGTCTGCCTCCCAAAATCATTGGTTTCGCTTGACACATCCTGAAAAAGTGTGATCGCTTCACTTGATGTTGCTATATCAACATCGCTTGATGTTGCTATCTCAACATAGCGTTTCGAGGTGATACTGAAGTTCGGTCTCAGCGCTCGCCGCCCAATTTGAATTTTGTATAGGGCGACGCTAATCAACTCTAAACACAGAAGGGGGGGGTCCCTTTATTATCATCGGCATGCGGTCATGGGGAATGGTGAGGATGTTTCAGGAGAGGACGAGGAGGGCGCGCAGGAGGAATATTAAGAGAAAGAAACAGATGCGGTAGGCAAGGTAGAGAAAGAGAAGGACGAGCAGGAACATACTGATGATGCGGAGGAGTTGGGTCATGAGGTAAACGAAGGGGAGGAGGCTGCCGCTGCTGGCAGAGCGCCTACTGGTATCCCGATGGAAACCAGAGGGGGTGTGGAAGGCAGCGAGACAGGAGAAGGATACGCGGAGAAGGTGGAGAAGGATAGGAGGAGGAGGACCGCGACAACGATGAGGGGGAGGGGAGATGGAGGTGGTGGAGGTGGATGATAAGGAGGAGCGGAGAGCAGGTGGATACGAATGAAGGTGTGTTAACTGAGAGTGGACGGAGGAGGAGAAGGAGACAGGACGAGGAGGTGGGAGGAAGGGGAGTACTGCGGGAATTATGAAGGGGATGAGGAGGAGGAACGGCAGGAGAGGGGAAGCAGGAGGAGGAGGAGGAGAAGGAGGAGAACGACGAGGCGCAGGCGAGGATCACGTCTCTCGCTCGGGGCGGCTGGCCCTCTGCTTCTCCTCCTGCTGCTGCCTCCCCCACTCCGCCCCCTATCCTCTCTTCTGCCCATTCCCTTCCTCCCTTCTCTCTGTCTCCCCCTCCTCCCGCGACTCGTTCCCCGCGTCCTCCCCTCACAGTTGCTCAATCCGAGTACTACTCCTCCTCTCTCCCCGGGATATGGTTCTGGAGTCGCCTGGCCCCCCCCCCCCGCCCCCCCGCCGCTGGTTTCGCACACCGGGCTTCACATGTTCTGGTCTTTCCTGCGTCTTCTGTTCCCCCATTTCGCTCTCGGTGTCTCCGAAAAGGTGTTCCCGCTGCAGCGGGGGGGCCCCACTTTTACGACCCGCACTCGGCTCCCATCGCTCCGGGCTGGCGCCCTCGCCCCGGCGGCGCAGGCCGCGCTGCCGGGTCCGAGAGTGCCGCCTCGTCGTCGCCGCCCCGTTCCTGCCCCCCCCCCCCTCCCCCGCCCTCCCCGGGCAGCCTGCTCCTCCATGCTGCTCCTCCTCCTCCTCCTCCTCCTCCTCCTCCTCCTCCTCCTCCTCCTCCTCCTCCTCCTCCTCTTCTTGGGGGAGTGTGGGTTGGTGGGTGGCCCTCATTCTTCTCCATAGGCCTCTGGAGACGTCGGGAGACCTCCGGCCTCCCCCCCCCAGAGATGCCATGATATACCTCTTGGGAGGAAGAGGAGGGGAGGGGAAGAACGTGAGAGAGGAAGATAATGGAGAGGGGGAGAGGGAGAGAAGGAGAGAAGGAGCGCAAGAGAGGGAGAGAGGGATAGAGAGAGAGGGGGAGAGGGAGAGATGGAGGAGGAGGCGGAGGCGGAGGCGGAGGCGGAGGCGGAGGCGGAGGCGGAGGCGGCGGAGGAGGCGGAGGCGGCGGAGGAGGAGGAGGAGGAGGAAGAGGAAGAGGAGGAGGAAGAGGAGAGGCCCCCCTCAGGACCTGGCCTGGCAGAAGGACTGCCTGACCTCGATGCTGGAGCAGATGCGCGCCGGCCTGAGCGTCCGGTGGTCTGTCCCGCGCCCCGCGGCGCGGTCTTGCCCGTGGCGGGCATCCGCCCCGGCGGGGCGGAGAAAGAGGAGGAGGAGGAGGAGGAGGAGGAGCTCCTCGGTCGTCGTCCTCTTCTCTTCATTGTCGAGGTGTTCAGGCCTGTTCGTCGGCTCTCGGAGTTGTTGGGATCGGGGCTGGAGTTCCCTGGCGGCGCCTTCGGCGCCGCCCCTGGCGCGCTCCGCGCGCCGGGGAGGGGGGTCGAGCGCCGATCTGAGAAATCAGAGCGGACCTACGAGTTGTTATGTTTATGCTATTGCCTGTTTCCCTAATGCAGCTGCGCCGGGGGTGCCCGGGTCGTCCCGAGCGGCCGCGCGTCGCAAGAAGAGTCTCGCGGGGAATTTATCTTTTGTTTGTTATGATTATCAGCCTCTGGAGCCTGGGGACTTCACTGGGCCCCACATGACAGGACTCGCGACGTCGGAGGTCTGGGGAGAGCGACGGTGAACGCAACGAAGACGACGACCGCGGCGACGACCACTTCGACGACTTCGTCTCGGAGGCTTCTCATCACCGAGCGCGTTCCACTACTCGCAAAGTGCCTCCGCGCAATCGTCCGAACACACATTGGTTCGCCCCGCTGGAATGTATCGTAAATCCCCCGCGGCGGATCCAGGCCATTTGCGAGTAGCCACTTTGCGAGTCGTGGAACGCGCCTGTCTATCTCAGTCAGCCACGCGCAGAGGGGGATGGGGGGAGGGGGGATGGCTTCTTAGAAGCACCCCTGTTTCTTAGAAGGCGCGGGCCTGATCCATAGATGTAAGGCCGGCGCCTCATAAGAAGCAGTCTCCTTCTCAGGAGCCCCCCTCCTCCTCCTCCTCCTCCTCCTCCTCCTCCTCCTCCTCCTCCTCCTCCTCCTCCTCCTCCTCGTCCTCGTCCTCCCTCCTCTCCTCCTCCTCCCTCCTCCTCCTCCTCCTCCTCCTCCTCCTCCTCCTCCTCTCCTCTCTCCTCCTCCTCCTCCTCCTCCCTCCTCCTCCTCCTCCTCCTGCTCTCTCCCTCTCTCTCCTCCTCTCCTCCTCCTCCTCCTCCTCCTCCTCCTCCTCCTCCTGCTCTCTCCTGCTCCTCCTCCTCCTCTCCTCCTCCCTCCTCCTCCTCCCTCCCTCCTCCTCCTCCTCCTCCTCCTCCTCCTCCTCCTCCTCCTCCTCCTCCTCCTCCTCCTCCTCCTCCTCCTCTTCCTCACCCCCCCCAAAAAACGTCCGCTTGTTCGTCCCGCCTCGAAGTCGGGCATGTCCCTCTACAGGAGAAAGATTCAAGCACAGTAGATGAGTAGTCTGGGAGCGATCTTTCTGCTGTCGTGTTCCTTTTGCTATTTCTCAGCATTGTTTGCCTCTTTTCATTTTCGTCCAAAATCACCCTGTAGGAGGACATGCCCGACAGAGTCGGCGGCGCGCGACGGGGGGGGGGCGTGAGGAGGAGGAGGAGGTCTGCTCCGGAAGGCGGCGGGATTTCTCAGAAGCCCCGTCGCGCCTCGTAGGAGGTTCTCCGCGTCTTCGGGGGAGGCTCAGAACACTCCTCTCAGAGAAGGGCGGTGGGCATTCGTCATGGAGGATCAACAAAAATCCCTAGCCCTAACGATACGACGAAGACGTTGTCTCACTGAGGCCCCCTTCCTCGCATGGTGGCGAATGCTTGAGTGCGTCTGGGCGAACTGGCTCGATGCACCTGCAGAGAAGACCCCCCTGGCCCTGATGTGCCCGGCCCTCCCAGCGTAGGCCCCCGCCCAGAGGGCTCGCCGTGGTCCAGTTCTGGCCGCTCGGCTCGAGCCCTCCGAGGAGGCCCGCCGCGGGCCCGCCGCCGACCGGGGGGGGTGCGCGCAGAGAGCCGCGCTCCGCGCACCCGCGGCCCGGGCCGGAAAGAGCGACGGCGGCGAGAGCCCCTCTCGGGGGCGGCGGCGGGGTGTTGGTCTTTGGCTGCTCCTGTCGAGCCCTGTGAGAGGGCCCGCCCCTGCTCGCTTCCCCCAGCGGGCTCGCCTCCTCCTCCTCCTCCTCCTCCTCCTCCTCCTCCTCCTCTTCCTCCTCCTCCTCTTCCTGCTCTCTCCTCCCTCCTCCTCCTCCTCCTCCTCCTCCTCCTCCTCCTCCTCTTCCTCCTCCTCCTCCTCCCCCTCCTGCTCCTCCTCCGCCTCCTCCCCCTCCTCCTCCCTCCTCCTCCTCCTCCTCCTCCTCCTCCTCTCCTCCTCCCTCCTCCTCCTCCTCCCCTCCTCCTCCTCCCCCTCCTGCTCCTCCTCCCCTCCTCCCCCTCCTCCTCTTCCTGCTCTCTCCTCCTCCTCCTCCTCCTCCTCCGCCTCCTCCGATGATGTGTCGGCGATGCGGTCAGATCCGATCCGGCCTTATCTGCTCCAACCCTATCGGAGGCCTCCGCAGCATGGCGTCACGGCGGCCGCGCCCTGCCCATCGGCCGTCCTTGGGCGGCTGCCCCGCGCCGGGGCGCCGGGGGCGCTAGCGGGGGCGCCGCCCGCGGGCGCCAAGAGGGCGGGCTGCCACCAAAGCGTGCACTCAGAACGAGCGACAGGAGATATCACTTGCCCTCTCTCGTTCTCTCTCTTTCTCTCTCTCTCTCTCTCTAAAGCGGCCCCGTCCCTCCACAGGGGGAATATTCCGAAACAGTCAAAACATGGTCAGGGGATTGTTTTTTGTATGTCTCGATCATTCTGGGGTACATTTCTGTGCATTCTTATTCTTCGTCCCAAGTCCCCCTGTAGAGAACAGGCCCGACCTAACTCTAATGAGCAGAGAATCTCGCAAACAAGTCTCCACTCCTAGTTGGCCCACCCGGCCTGGGCGGACAATGTGATGACCTGGGGCCGTTTTTTTTGGAGGCTGTGAGAGATTTGACCGTTCGTTTTTTGACAACCAGTATTTCTCCCACGCGCAGTGGGTGATGCCGCGTCTGTCTGTCAAATTCTCAGGTCCGTAGCTGTATTGTTACTGTCGAAGGCCGTGGAGGAACCGACTTCGTGTAGCACGGGGACCGCGCGCGCGCCCTGTGCCCGCGCGCGGCGGGCGCGCCTGCCCGAGCCCGGGGCTCCCGAGGGGGGCACAGGGCGCCGAGAGGCCGCCGCCCTCGCCCCAGGCCTCCGCCTGCTCCGGCCTCCTGCCGGGCCCTCCTCCTGCTCTGGCCTCCTCCTCCTCCTCCTCCTCCTCCTCCTCCTCCTCCTCCTCCTCCTCCTCCTCCTCCTCCTCCCTCCTCCTCCTCCTCCTCCTCCTCCTCCTCCTCCTCCTCCTCCTCCTCCTCCTCCTCCTCCTCCTCCTCCTCCCCCTCCCCCTCCTGCTCCTCCTCCGCCTCCTCCTCCTGCTCCTCCCCATCCTCCTTCTCCTCCTCTTCCTCCTCCTCCCCGGCCGGCAGGGGACATCAGCGGCCTCGTAGGGTGCAGGACTGAAATCTAGGGTATAGCCAGGACCCCAGGTAAGGGGACCCGATTAGTAGTAGGGCCCCGAAGCCCATAAAAGTGGGCAGAATCACGAAACCAGATCTGCCGTAGCTGGTGTTTTTTCGGGTGACGGCAGTTCTGATTAGTTGAACGCGGCGGGGGGGGGGGGGGGCGTCCCCCAGTATACATCAATAAACCAGGTCCCACTAAACCCAGTTCTGCCAACGCCCGAAATTCGGCCACGCGCAGAGGGGGTAGGGGGAGGGGGGAAGGCTTCTTAGAACCACCGTGGGGTAGGGGGAGGGGGGAAGGCTTCTTAGAACGGGGGCCGCTGGCGCCCTGCGCGGGAGGCGCCGCACGCTCTGGGCCCGGCGCCCTCCTCCGCGGAGCCGCTCGCCTCCGTCGCCCCCGCCTCGTCGCCCTTGGCTGGGTCAATCTTCCGCCGCCACTACCACAGGGGGGGCGGGGCAGAGGGGAGGATGGGGAGGTCATCCACCTCCACCTCATCCTCCTCCTCCTCCTCCTCCTCCTCCTCCTCCTTGTCCTCCTCCTCCTCCTTTTCATCCCTCTCCTACCTGGGGTGGTGGTGATGGAAAATCGTCCCATCACCCTTCCCTCCTCCTCCTCCTCCGCCTCCTCCGCCTCCTCCTTCTCCTCCTCCATCTTTCGGCTCTGGTGCGCGCTCAGCTCTGCCGCGCCCCGGCTGCTGCTGTCCGAGGCGCCGTGCTCACGCGTCGCCATAAACAGTCAGAAAATATTCAAGAATGCTGACACACAATTAATAACGTAGTCCCTAGACATTTTTTAAAACCATTTTTGAATCTTCCTCCTGTAGAGGGACAGGCCCTGCTTAAACATACGCTTTTTGTTCTGGATGGATTCTCCTTGATCGGCTCTGGGCGCCCCTTGGCGGCGTCTCTGGCGCCGTCCCTGGCGCCCAGAGGGGGGCTCAGCGCTGATCCAAGGAACCCCCGCAGACCCCTGAACATTCGTATTGTTTCTGCCGCTTCTTTATAGCAGGCGTGCTTCTGGAAGCCGAGCTCCGCAGCATCACAAACACGCAGGCTGGCTTCAGAGAGCTGCATGCGTGTGTGTGTGTGGTGTGTGTGAGTGCGCGTGTGTGTGTGTGTGTGTGTGTGTGTGTGTGTGTGTGGGAAGCTGGGCTCGTGATCGAAAAACCGACTGCAATTGTTGATGCTTCCAGCAACAAATCTTCATGCGCCATTTTTGCCGCGCTGAGCCCAGTTCGGTCCAGTAACATGTTTGCTGCCATCAAGCAGTGGCGAAGCGTCCTGGCTCGCCTATAGCCCTACCAAACAATGTTCCAATAATCGTTTGTGGTGTCCACGAAATGTTCTTAGAACGCTTCTGGCGGAGATTGTCTTGTTTGAACACATCGGGATTAATGTTCTCAGAACATTGTTCTTGTTCTCAGAACATTTTTGGAGTTCTGAGAACATGTCGTGGTATGACTATATGAATGCCGGGACGGTCGGTTCTTGTTCAATTCCAGGGGCGACGGGCCGGGCTCCGAAGGGCGCGGCGCAGAGGGGAGCGGGAGCGGCCCCCGCGGGCGGGCACGGCGGGCGGCTGGCGGCGGGGGGGCGAGAGCGACAGCCCGCCGAGCGCGAGCCGCGGGGAGGGCAGGGCTAACACTAAGTCGGGCGCGTCCCCCTACAGGGGGGATTATCGACGAGAAATAAAAAAGACCCCCAAAATACACCAGAAAGGCCCAACAATGGTCAAAACATAGTCCCCAGACTATTTATGGGCAAGTTTGTGGAATTTTTGTTGTACTTTTATTCTTCGTTGAAAATCCTACTGTAAGGGGACAGGCCCGACTTAATGCTAACACCTGGTGAGGAGCAAGCAGGCAGTGGCGAAGCCTCCTGGCTCGCCTATAGCCCTACCAAACAATGTTATGAGAACCTTTTTGTGGTTTCCACGAGATGTTATTCGAACATTTCTGGTGGAGCCTGTCTTGTTTTATCACATCGGCTTCATATGTTCTAAGCACATGTTTTGGCTCTTAGACCGTTTGTTGTTCCAAGAACATGTCGTGGTAGGGCTACAGGACTGCCAGGACGGTCGGTCCCTGCTCGAATCGGGGGACCCGGACCCCCTCGAGCCGTGAGAAGAACACGGCGGGAGGCTTCTCGCCATTGTCGGCCTCCAGAGGGGGGCCCTTCCCCAGCCCCGGGGCCGTCAAAGAGTCCACTCGGGACGAGAAGTCGGTCCCTTGGGAAGGGGTCCAGACCGTGGGGGCGTCGACCTTGCGAACATCTCTCAGGAGAGGAAAAAACACACAGACGCAATTAATCCTCGATTCCTCAGAAAATATAGGAAAATATGGGAAGTGGGGGGGAAGACAGAAACCCAGAAAATATGGGAAAATATGGAATATTTTTATTTGTGTGTTTATTTTGTTTGTGTGTCCTGGGGCCCCTTTAATCTCGCGGCCTCGGGTGGTCCGGGAAGCAGCGGAAGAGGCAGGGCAGCGCAGGCCCGGACGTGGGCGCGCGGAGGAGGGACGGGCCCCCGCTTCTGTGGAGAGAGAATCGACGCGCTGCGCTGCCGGCTCGGGCGGCACCGGCCGCATGTCTGCCACGAGGGGGAAAAAACACACAGACACGATGAATCGTCGATCCCCCAGAAAAGGATGGGAGAATGTTGGAAGTGTGGGGGGGAAGACAGACACCCAGAAAATATATGGGAACAGATGGGGAATCCTGCTGTTTGTGTGTGTGTGTATTGACTTGTGCGTCCCAGGGCTCCTTCAGACTGAGATGGGAGCGTCCCCCGATCCGTGGACCTGGCTTCCACTCGACAGGTCCACGGGTTCGTAATCCGTGTCAGCCTTTGAACGATAGACTACAGATAGACACATCGACGAGCGCTCGGCCCGAACCAGCCAGCACGCTCGGGACCCGAAGTGGATATGCGCCAGCAGTTGAATGGGATGAAAAGGATCATCACGGAACTTTGTCACACGTGTGTTGTTCTGCGGCATTGTTGACTTGTTGGACGTATTTGTTGGCATGTTCCAATCGATGTGCACACTTGTGCCGGGCAGTTTCTTCCTATTCTGGCCACCGAGGTGCCACGGAGGCGTACGAGGTCCTCGGGGTGAGCCCAGACGCCACCGATGCCGAACTCGCGAAGGTTGCGGGGCAGTGTGGGGTTTGCGTTTCATGTGGTGAAATGCACAGGAGCAGTGGAGCTTCGGCAGCTTAAGAGCGAATCGGAGGTAATGACAAAGGCACCAGTCTCTCGCAACCATGCGGTCGTAGCGTCTTGCTGCTCAATGGGGCTCGCCCGCCCCATCCAGCACAGCTCTCTGAGGGATATCCCATACAGCCCCTGCTGGAAATTGAGAGGGCTCCTCAAACGGATGGCGTTCCTGTCGTTGGTAAGGGGTGTGGAACCGAGGAGACCGAGCCTCTTTTCTTGAGACGGCTCCAGCCTCCAGAAGGGCCAGAGGAGTGGGCGCAGAATCGGAATCCCGCAAAGGGGGGTTTCGCCCGGGGTGAGGGGGGGGGGTCGATCGGTGTTTTGCACCGAATGGTCAAAAGCAGATGCCCCCCAGCCGCCGGCAGCGCTCGGTCTGTGCCGCCAGGTGGGGCATGCGGGGGGGCATCTGCTGGCGAGAGTTCGGTGCACCAGCGGATCGAGCTCATGCCCCCCCTCAGGGTCTCCCCCCCCTCCACCCCTGGTTGGATCCCGAGAGGCGCCCCGGGACGGAGCTGGACGTGAGCGGAGGCCTTGCAGAGAGGTTTGGGGGAGAGGGGGCCGCGGCCAGACCGAGTACAGTCGGGGGTGGACAGACCTCCTACCCTGACAAGTCGATTAAGGAATTGGCCGTTTTCGGTTCGCGAGAGGGCGTCGCGGCCGTCATTTTTGCGGGTCCAGGTCCGTCGGTTTCGGTCCCAGGCCGTTTTCACTAAGGGGAGGTCTACTAAAGGGAGGTCTGTCCACCGCCGATACAGGGGAAGCAACGCCCCAATGAGCCAGGCCTGGATTTAAGTCGGGCCTGTCCCTCTACAGGGGGAATGCGCAAACATAGTAAAACAACCGTGTGGAGAGTATTTTTTGAGCATTTGTTGACCATGTGGGAGTATTGTTTGCGTGTTTGTTATGTTTCGTCGAAAACCCTCCTGTGGGAGGACAGGCCCGACTTGACAGTATGGGCGTGCGGTCTGTGCAGCTGCTCGCTCCGCCGGAGCGAAAGGGCGCGGGGCAGGCCTACAAGCTCGCGGCCATGCGCAGCCACCCGGACAAGGGAGGCGACCCCGAGCAGTTCAAGGCTCCACACTCGCGCTGCCGGTCGAGGGGGGCCGCATCTCTCCACCCTTTCCTCCCCTTATGCCGATCTCCCCTTCCCTCGTCTTCCCCTCATCCTTCCTCCTCCCTCTCTCCCTCGCTCCCTCCAGTTCTCTGTCTCTGTGTCTGTCCGTCTGTCTGTCTGTCTGTCTGTCTGTCTGTCTGTCTGTCTGTCTGTCTGTCTGTCTGTCTGTCTGTCTGTCTCTCTCTCTCTCTCTCTCCCTCTGTTTTCATTTCCGTTTCTTTTTGTTATTTCTATCTCTCTCTCTCTTTTCTCTCTCTATCTCTCTCTCTCTCTGGCACTGCCCTCTCTCTGTGTGCGCGCATGACCGTGGACTCGCGATCGGCCTGCTCGGGTCGAATCCGTTGTGAGTGGAGGAGGGCGACGACGTTAACGACGTTGTTCTCCTCAGCGCATGCGGAACATTATCAGCAGATATGCCTTCACATCCTCTCGTATGCGACCGCTGGTTCTCCCCCAGGCTTGGGACGGAGTGAAAGGACACATGTTTCGACAGCCGCCCCTTTGTGCACACAGATTTAAGCAGAAGTGATGTTGCAAGGGCGTGAGGAACGACCTGAGGAACATCCTTGGCGGGCCCGATACGATCCTGGAGAGAACAACAACACGCTGGGGGGACACATCTGCATTCAATGCAGATCTGCTCGCGAAAGCTTAGATCGGGGGTGCGTAGACGTAGTTCGCAACGATTCTGGCCAAACATCTTGCGAACATCTCCCCTTGAATCTCCGGCCGCAGTGCTGGGGTCCTTTCAGATCTCTACAGCAGATTCCCCTGGCGAAATCTCCAGCGAAATCTCCGCGAATCCCCTTGATTGGGTGGAAAACTCTGGCGAAGTTTCCGGGCCATTCCGCCCGCGCGAGAATCTCTGGCGAAATCTCCTGGCCATTCCGCCTGCGGAATCTCCGAGCCACTCCGCCCGCGCGAGAATCTCCGGCGAAACCTCCGGGCCAGTCCGCCCGCGTGAGAGTCTTTGGCAAAGTCTCTGGGATTTCTGGTGGAGTGTGTTGGGATTGATTCGAATGTATTGGGAATATGTTTTCAAGTTGTTGATGTCTTATGAGAGTGCATTTGAGTTGATCGGAACGATGAGAATTCATGCTAATAGATGATATTGTACTGGGAAAAGTGAAACGTAGTATAACGATGGTGAACGCGATTGAATGAGATGGATGGTGATGTCGATGATGAGATCGATTGTGAGTTCGATCGTGGCATCGATACAGAGATCAATGGGGAGATCGACGTGAACCCGGGAACTCGGGACGCCCCGCCCGAATGGCACACATGGAACGACATGTGCCCATGTCTCACAGAACAAGTGCGCAACAACGTTACAGGATCGATTGTGTCACATCTCACCCAGCAGGGGCGCAGCTGCGAATCAGTGGGTGTCGTGCGGAGTAGCATGGTTTCGGCCAGAGCACTCCTTGCCCTTACACGTGGTCTTCCCTCTTCCCTTTGCAGCTCTATCCGCAGCACAGTATCGACGCTTCGCTCCCGTCATTCAGAATTGCACTTCTGAATCCGATTTGCTTCGTCGTTGCCATCCCAATCCTTTCCCTTCTCTGCCTTCCGCTGCTCCTCTTCCTTCTCCTGCTAATCCCGCAATCTCCCCTGAGCCATGTCCCCCGTTCGTCTTGCGCATCACCAGATGGGGTGTGACCAATGTCCTCTTGGACGCCCCAGTCGGCGGATAGCGACGGATTCATCGCAGTGGGTTGGGGGGAGGGATGGGGGGGGGGAGGGGTCGACTGTTAGATATGGCGTGGGCGCACTTGGCCTGATATGACTATTGCTCCTGTCTCTCCCCTGGCATGGTACAGCGGTGCTCCCGCCCCTCTGTCTCTGGCATGTCTGATGAGATGAGGTCGTCGGTTCGTGCTGTCGTCGCTTATCCACTCGGAACGCCCTCGCTGCTTCAGAACAGGTGTTTCCGCTGCAGCGGAGGCCATATTGTGGATACAGTGCCGGTTTTAATACATGCTCCGCGTGCGGATCATGTATTAAGCATGCAGGATTTAGTACTAAAAACATCGAGGAGTTCACGCATATATTTATTGAAAAATTAGTCATGTATTAAGAATCCTACATGTTTGAAGAATCCAATGTATTAGAGACTGCCCTGTATGGATAAGTTCGGGACCCCTGCGGCCAAACTTTATCCATGTCCACCGCCCCCATAGGGGTCCTGGGAGGTCGGCGTCCCCAGGCGGACACGTATGTAGGCCCCAGCCTCTCTCACCCTGTCGCTCCCCTTGCTGCTGCTGCCTCTCCCGGGCCGCCCGCCTTGGAAGGGGGGGGGGCACGATCTCCTGCGGCGGGGCCCGCCGCCTTCCTCGGTGCGCGGCTCGCGCCTGCCGCGCCGGGGCGCCCGGAGAACGAGGCATATGAGTGCAGCTGTCCCCGCTCCCCTCCGCGGCCGCCCTCCTGCCTTCTTGCCTCCGCGGTGGTCGCTTGCAGTTGCGCGACCCGCTCTGGGCCGCCTCTCGCTGAGCGACCGCCAGAGCCGCCTTCAGACATTATGTGTAGCTGCCCTCCGTTGCAACCCCGTCCTTGCCCCCCCCCCCCCCCCCCTTCTGTCAAGAAGACAATCCACTACGTACCGCGTGAGAAGACTGCGAGGCGCACCTGCGAGAGCACACCCTGGCCAGCGCAGACGGGCCTCGGGCAGCCCGCGCCTGCGCGCGCTGCTGCGCACGACGACTCCTCGCTCCTCGGACATTGTCGCGCCCCCGAAGCGGTCATGCTTCAGGGGCACCGACAGGCTGCGACATGGGGGGCTGGCCCTTTGGGTGAAGCATCGGCCCCCATTCACCCAAAGGTGACTCCTCCTCCTCCTCCTCCTCCTCCTCCTCCTCCTCCTCCTCCTCTGCCTTCTCCTCCTCCTCCGCCTCCTCCGCCTCGTCCTCCTCCTCGTCCTCCTCCTCCTCCTCCTCCTCGTCCTTCTCCTCCTCCTCCTCCTCCTCCTCCTCCTCCTCCTCCTCCTCCTCCTCTGTGAAGCATCGTCAATCGGGGCCTGGGCCCCTCACAGAGCGTGCGATTTCGCTATCGAGGGCCTATCGCCGATCTCTCGGGCCTGCTCCAGGTCATTGCCCCCCCCCTGAGCTGGGCCCCCCTCCCTGTCGGCTCCCCTCACTCCTGCTTCGGGGGCCGGCCGAGTGAACGCGGAGAGGTGCTCCGGACCGCCTACGACAGGATCTTGGCGGAGCGCAAGGGTTGCAAGGATGCTTCCGGACCTCGAGGAGGCACTGGCGAGGCGCCATCGTCGTCGTCGCCGTCCGTCGCAGTCACCATCGTCGTGGGCGTAGTCGTCGGGCTCGTCGTCGTCGTCGTCACTGCCGTTGTGGTCGTCGTGACCGCCTCTATCGTAGTCGTGGTTCCTCGCCGTGATCACGGCGGTGGTGGTCGTCGTCGGCGTCGTCCTCCTCGTCGTCCTTGTCGCCCTGTGGTCCTGGAAGCCGGCACGCGTGCGCGCACCGAGGCGCCCTCTGGCGACAGCCCGCCGACGCCGCCGGCCGCCGCCGCTGGCGCCCCCGCGCCGGGCGAGGGCGCGGACGCGCCCGCGCCGCCCCCGGCCGCAGACGAGGCAGCGCCCGCGCCCGTCGACGCCGAGGACGCCCCAGAGGCCTGCTCGCCGAGGAGCGGGGCGGAGGCGGGCGCCGAGGCGGCGGAGGCCGCGCCCGCCGGCGCGGAGGGCGCCACGGAGGCCAGCGCGGCGAGCAGCGGCACAGAGGCGGAGGACAGCGAGGACGACGAGGGCGAGGAGGCGGGCCCCGCGGCCGCGGCGGCGCACGCCCCGGCGGAGGCGGCCGCGGGCGGCGGCGGCCCAGGCAGCGGCGGGCGCAGTTGCGCGGGCGCGGGCGCGGGCGCGGGAGGTCAGCGGGAGAGGGGCGTGGAGTTGGGGGACGTCGGCGTAGGTCGGGCATGTTCCTCTACAGGGGGGATAGTCAAACATTGTAAACAATAGTCTGGGGACTATTTTTGAGTATTTCGGGGCATCTTTTGGGCATTTTTTGAACATGTCTCATTTTTCGGCCAAAATCCCCCTGTATGGGGGACAGGCCCGACCTAAACGTAGGCCCAACACCTCGCCGAAGCTGGCCAGGCCGATCCTCGGGCCCAGGAGCAGTGTCTACGCCTCGCCCAGGGCGGGGCCTGGTCGGGCTAGAGGCCAGGTGGTCCGTGGTCGGTGGTGTCCTTCGGCGGGTTGCCAGTCGTTGCCGGTGGCGGTGCCATTGGCCTTTTCGGCCCTCGTCGCCACGGCCGGATCCGCCTTGGCATGCTGGTCGGCACGACTCCCCCGGAGGGGCCCGGGGAGTAGTGGGGGCATCGGTTTCCTTGTCTGCTCCCCCAGGTGGCCCCGAGCGCGCGGGCCTCGACGTCGCCGAGCTGATCCGCGGCATCCCGGTGGAGGCGGTGGCCACGCAGGCGGAGCTCTGCCTGGACGCCGCGGAGATGTGCGCGAAGGTGGCGAAGATGGCCGAGGAGGCCGCCGAGGCTGGGGGTCGGGGCTGGCCGCAGCTCCTGCGGTGCGGCACCCATCTGCTCGACAGCTCCCACTGTGCGACCGAGGCCGCCCGCAGCATCGCGCGCTGCGCTTCGGGCATCCCGTCGGACGTGATACCCCTCCTGGATCGCGTGAAGACGACGATGGGCATCGACCGCAAGGTTGCGCGTCATCGTCAAGAGCCATCCCAGCCCCGACCTGGACTGAGGAGGAGGAGGAGGAAGAGGAGGAGGAGGAGGAGGAGGAGGAGGAGGAGGAGGAGAAGGAGGAGGAGGAGGAGAGGAGGAGGAGGAGGAGGAGCAGGAGGGGGGAGGAGGAGCGAGGATGAGAAGGAGAGAGGAGAAGGAGAGAGGAGTGGGAGGAGGAGGAGGAGGAGGAGGAGGAGGAGGAGGAGGAGGAGGAGGAGGAGGAGGCGAGTGGTAAACTACAGCTCTCCCAGCGCCCCCCTCCCCCTCTGGGTGGGGGGACGGGTGCTGCAAGCCCCGCAGGAGACGGCACCCCTACCCCCCCCACCTAGCCATGGGGGCCTTTCTATAGGTCGGCCTTCGGGGCAAGGAGGCCCGGGCCGCCCCCCGCAGGGTATGCGTGACCCGTGCCGCCCTTTGTCGGCGGCGAGCGAGGGGGGGGACATGAGAAGGAGAAGGCCTTCTCGGAATGCAGCGGGGCTTCTGAGACGCCCTCCGGCCTTCGCGGAGGTTTTCTGCGTCTTCGGGGAAGGCTTCGACAGCTTCTCAGAAGGCCAGGGGACTTCCGAGCCTTCTGAGAAGGCCCGCTCCTCCTGACTTACCCCCCTCGCTCGCCGCCGACCTTGACCCCCCGGGAGGTCATGAACGTGACCCGGGACCTCATGCGCTGCACCGAGGTCATTTCCGAGCGCGGTCTGCAGACCGCCCGCCTGTCCGACAGGCTCCTCGAGCACTCCAAGGATCGGCAGCATTCAAGCATACACTACAGTGGAGGCCCATGCTAAGAAACACCCTGCTTGCCTCCAGGGTGCCCTGGCTTTCTTGGATCCCGATGGTCTTGCTATGGAGAGCGTGACGTTCCCACACCAGAAATCGATGGACGGGCCCTTATTGTGCGTGTGAGTCGGCACCCCAGCGCGCGCTCAGAAATCTTCTGATATCGGAGGCGAGGGGGCGAGATCGCAGGGACGCGGAGAGCCCCCCAACTGGGAAAGCGGTTTCGGTTTCGTGTTCGTGTTGTGCGTGCGGGCGAGGCGCAGCTGCGTGGGCGGGCGACAGGAATGAACCCGCCTCTTGCTAGGGCGCCGCCGGGCCAAAAGGCCGCCCCCTCCTAGATTGTCAGGCGGTGGCCAGTGTGTCCCGCGGGTGTCCTGCCAGTGACCCGCCGGTGCCCTGCTGGTGTCCCGCCGGTGCCCCGCCGGTGTCCCGTAGTGAGATCGATAGCGAGATCGATGGTGAGACCGACAGCGAGATCGATAGTGAGATCAATCATGAGATCGATAGTGAGATCGATGGTGATTTCGACGGTGCAAACGCTTGTGATATCGACAGTGATAATATCGATGGTGAGATCGATAGTAAGATCGACATTGATGTCGATACTCATATCGATAGTGAAAACGATCGTGATAATTGAGTGAGGTCGAGTGTGATATCCTTAGTGGCATCGATTGTGAGATCGATCGTGTGCTCCATCAAGTGAGATCTATAGTTAATGAGGTCGGTAGCGAGACAGGTAGTGAGATCGATAGTGCGGTCGATAGTGATCTCGATAGTGATTTCGATAGTGAGATCGATAGCGACGTCGATTAGTGAGATCGATAGTGAGCTCGATTGTGAGATCGACAGTAAGATCGCTGGTGCGATCGACAGTGAGATCGATGGTGCGATCGGCGGTGGCCTGGGGTGTCCCGCGGATGTCCCGCCGGTGTCCTGTGGTGAGATCGATGGTGAGACCGATAACGAGATCGATAGTGAGATCAATCGTGAGATCGATAGTAATATATGTGGTGAGATCGATAGTGAGATCAATAGTAAGATCAATTGTGAGATCGATAGTGGTATCGACAGTGATATCGATGTAAGATCCTTAGTAATTTCGATGGTAAGGTCGATCGTTAGATCGATAGTAATATCGATTGTCAGATCGATCTTGAGATCGATAGTAAGATCGAAAGTGAGATCGATAGTGCTATCGATCGTGGTAACGATCGTGCAAGCTTACTGAGATCGACAGTGACATCCTTAGCGGCATCGATTGTGATATGGATCGTGTGATCCATCAAGTGAGATCTACAGTGTGGTCGATAGCGAGACCGGTAGTGAGATCGATAGTGCGATCGATGGTGATGTCGATAGTGATGTCGATGGTGAGATCGATAGTGACGTCGATTAGTGAGATCGACAGGGAGTTCGATAGTGAGATAGGCATTGAGATCGATAGAGCGATCGACAGTGAGATCAATGGTGCGATCGGTTGAGGGAGACGTTGGTTCCTCTCCTCCTCCGAACCTCCTTATCACCCGAAGGGTGGTCGTATGCAGACCTATACGACCACCCTTCCTGTGATAAGGATGATGTGTGGGGAACTCTCTGACGACAACTGCGATGACTTCCATGGCGTCGCTACCATCACAATCATCACAGTTGTCGTCAGGGGAAACCTCACTTAAGGACCATCACCCCAGTTTTCGCCGTGCTTGTCACAACCACTACATCAAGACCATTGAGGGAACGTTAGGGGCACCAATGGGACACCGTCGGAACACCATCGAAACACCATCGGGACGAGCACCTGAAGACACTGCGGGGGCAAGTAACTGACACTATCGGGACACCATCGGGGGACCGTCAGGTCACCATGTGGAGACCATCGGGACACCATCTCGACACCGCCATGAACATCTGTATATCGATCTCACCGCTGATTTCACCATCGGTCAATCTAGCAATCTATCATTCCCACTATCAATCGGTCTCGCTACCAATCTCACAATCGATCCCACTATCTATCTATCGACCTCACTATCGATCACCACCCATCGATCTCACTATCTGTCTACCTATCTATACAACGATCTCAGGGGACAACCATCGGGACACCAACGGGACGCCATTTGGACACCATCGGGGCATCAGACGGACACCATCGGGACACCATCGGGACACCATCGGGACACCATCGGGACACTTTCGGGACACCATCGGGGCACCATCGGGACACTATCGGGACACCATCGGGGCACCATCGGGATACCATCGGAACACCATCGGGACACCATTGGGACTCCATCGGGACACCATCGGGACACACCCAGGCCACCGCGGGCCGACCAGGGGGGCACAGTATCACTGAGCCCGGCTTCCTCCGGCAGCGAGACATGGGCACCCCACTGGTCGGGGGCGGCACAGAGGGGGGTGATGACTGGGGGGGGGGATATCATGGCGGGGGCCACGACATCTCCCCAGATCTCAGGGCGCCCCTGCTCATTTCAACGCGTCCCTGGCTTCCCCCTGGGCCGCGCACATGCCGCCGGCCGCGTTTAGCATCCCGCCCCTCTTGAACTTCCCCCTCTTGGCCGCCCCCGAACTGGGACACCCCCGGGCCACCGCTGGCCAACGGGGGGGAGTTCACGGCATCAGTGGCCCCGGCTTCGCCTTGGCCACGTCGGGGCCGCTTCCTCTCGCCCGCGCGCGCAGGCTGCGCTCTTCCCGCGTGCACGACACGAGCACGCAGATCCGAGATCGATCTCCTGGCGGGGGGCTCTCCGTTTCACTTCGATTCAGGGGCAACGATAGGGGGGGTAGGCATAGGGGGGGATGCATCGACTCCCAATCGCCCATTGATCGCTGATAGGGGCCCAATAACCCCACCCCGCCCAGGAAGGTGCGGATTCATTATCGATGGCCTATCGCCGATCTATTGACGATGCATCGCCGATTCCAGGTCGACGCATCCCCCCGTATGCCCATCCCCCTTATCGTTGCCCCTAATCGATCCGATGAAAGCTGATGGGCGCTTCCTGGTCGCCCCCCTGCCTTTTTGGAAGCGCCTGCGTGGTCGAAAGTTGGGTTTGAGCTTGGCCAAACCATCGGGCCACGCGTTCCCCGAGTGGGTTTCGAAAGCTTTCGGGGAGCACGAAATCGGGCGAGCTATCGGACCAGGTAATTTCCAAGCTTTCGGGTTCCCTGGAGGACGTCTTGTAGGGTTCATGGGCCGTCTTGGAGTGCGGGCCTTTTGGGCAGTCTAAGGCTATCTTGAGGCCATCTGGGGCCGTCTTGGGTGCATCTTGGGGTCATCTTCGCTGTCTTGGAGGCCGTCTTGGACGCTTCTTGGAGGCCATCTTGGCCGTCTTGGATGCCATATTCGGCGTCTTTGGGGCCATCTTGGGCTCTTCTTGGGGCCCTCTTGGGGGCCTCTTGGGCTGTCATGGGGCCATCTTGGAGATCTCTTGGGCGCTCTTGGGACGATGTTGAGGGCCTCCTGGGCCGTCTTGGGCCGTCGGAGAGCTGATAAGAAGAAAATCCCAAAATCCTGCAAACGCAGAAGGACAATCAATGATTTGTGCCTTTTCGGGCCTTCCTGGAGGACGTCTTGGAGGCCTCTTTGGGGCCTCTTGGCCAGTCTTAGGCTATCTTGGAGCCATCTTGGGCCGTCTTGGAGGCTTCTTGGACGAACTTGAAGGCATTTTGGACTCTCTCGGGCCGTCTTGGAAGCCATCTTGGACCATCGTTGGCGACTTGGAGGCCATCGTGGAGACCATCTTGGGTCAACGTGACCATCTCAGAGGCCATCTTGAGCCGTCTTGGAGAGCTGTTTGCGGTCGTTGAGGTGGTTTCTGGGCCTTTCCGGGACCTTGACGGGATCGGCCGAAGCCCCGGCGGATCGAACGGCCTTCGGCCAATCCCGCCACCCTGCCTGGGTTACAGGCACGAGGCTCCCTGGGGGGCCATCCTGGGCGTCTTGAGGCGGTCGTTCGGCGACTCGAGGCCGCCTTGGAGGCCCCTTGGGGCCCCCTGAGCTCGTCCTGGGGCCCTCCTGGGCCCCGGAAGGTCGCGCGAGAAGACGCGCCGGACCCAGGAAGAGTTGAGAACGTGGGGCCCCGGCCGCTAGGAGACTCCTCAGAAGTGAGGACTGAGGCTCAGAGGATTGGACAAAGGACCTGAGGACACGCCCACTCCGTGCCCAGAGGCACGGTGGCGGATAATATGCTTGTTCTGTATGTTCGGTTCGAACGCGCGACGTGCGCCTCCAAGAGGGGTCGCAAAGTACTAGTGTGTCTTCCCGGAGGTCAGACGTTGCGGAAACATGCGACACATCGTAAAAAGTCAGAATTGGAGCCCTAGACCCAATGTTTGTTACAGCTTCTGTGCGAGCCGGATCGATGGTCCTGGGGCCCGAAGCCAGGCGAAAACGCCCCCTGTGAAAAAATGCACCGCCAGTATCTCAGTGTCTCGCGTAGGGGATCGACTGCATAAAATTGATTTGTCCCAAGCTTGGTTCTCTCGTCGGACCTATGCGCAGCATGTTGGTAGGTCGGCGGAGCAATCCGTGCATCGCCGTGGCGAAACCTAGTTTTGGGGCAAATCGGTTCCGTAGTCGATCCCCTGCTCGAGTGCTCTGCGCCCGAGAGGAGGTCCTGCAGGCGCTCCGGGGCGCCCCCGCCGCCGCGGCCGCGCCCGGGCGGGCCTGCCTCGTGCTGGCGGACGCCCTTCGGGCCCTGGCGGGCGGCGCGCGGGAGGCGGCGGACGCCGCGGCGGCGACGGCCACGGCGGTGGGCGACGCGCAGTGTCTGGGGCAGACGCTGGCGGAGATTAGGGGGGCCACACGCGAACCCTACCCCTATACCCCCGTCGCGATTTCTGAGGGGGAGGGTGGGGTTCACTTCGCTCGGGAGCTCCCGAACGGAGTGAACCCCACCCTCCCCCTCAGAAATCGTGGGGGGTAGAGGTAGGGTTCGCGTGTGGCCCCCTAGGAGATGGTCGAGAAGCTGAGGAAGAGCAGGGGCGAGGCTGCCGAGGACGCAGGGGACGGCCCGTGAGCGCCAAGCCGTCCGGTCCGCGCTCGGGTGTCGCCCCCCTTCGGCCAGGGAGGCACGAGCACCGTCCCGACTCGCCGTGGCCCTTGGGCGGCGCT